AAAAAATCCGGAAAAATTTCCATGTAAGAAAGGCGCTATGATGCCGTGGCCTAGGTTTCTCACTGAAAATCCTCGTCCCCCGGCGGCACCTTTTTTTGAATTTTCTTCCTTTTCAACGGCGTTTTTTGGGGATTTCGGATTTTTTTCGAATTTTTTCGCAATAATATTCGGAAAATAGATAACTTTTAACACATTTTAATGCAATAAAAATTTTTGGTCGGAGTCCCCCTTTAATGTGTCTAGTGTGGCTGGTGGACAATATGCGGTAGTCGGGGTTTCTGTTTGACTGAAAAATTCGGCAGCCTCTATAGAGCTATAGCTAACCAGAATTTTTTTGCCCAACATATTCTACGATTCCAGATGTACGACTGGCTCTTCTACGCAATGGCAAAATCTGCGCTTGATCAATTCACCAGAAGCGCATCCATCGGACTTATTGCCCATGGTGTTCGTGTAAACTCTGTCAGTCCTGGATTCTTTTTGACTGGAATCAGCGATGCCATGGGGTTGCCAGAAGGAACTTTTGAAAAGGTTAGTGTTATAAAAATTCAAAGCTTTCTAGTAAATGTTATACTTTAGATGGTCGCGTTCTACGAGTCAAGAAAAGAATGCATTCCTTGTGGGAAAGCTACTCAACGGATCGATATTGCCAATATCATCGCATTCTTAGCAGATCGTAAACTCTCTTATTATATCATTGGACAATCAATTGTGGCTGATGGAGGGACCTCACTGGTCATGGGAATGCACATGACATGATGAGCATTTCGAACTCTCCTTGATAATTTTTAGTTTTTGGAATCCCCCCCCCCCTTCCCCCCCCTTCCTCAACAGTGTTTTGTGTATTCAGCACAATTACGACGACTAGAGACTATCTATACAATTGATATTGTTTCTTTATCACAGAAACCACGATTTCATTTTCCGTGTCACTAATCAGACAAGAGGGCAACGCCAACCTACTGCCTGTGTATAAATAGTGGAAAAGGTAGACCATTTTTCCTAGAACAACGGATTATTGTTTGAAATGAATCGTTTCGCAGGGAAAGTTGCTCTTGTTACAGGTTTGTTAGAATTATTCTAAAGTTTAACTTTTTTATTTTTTTTTAATTCAGGATCTTCTAATGGAATCGGTCGTGCTACAGGTATCCTCTTCGCACAGGAAGGTGCCAAGGTAACTATCACTGGAAGGAACACCAAACGACTCGAGGAGACCCGTCAAACAATTTTGAAGGCTGGAATTCCAGAAAGCCACGTTTTGGCGATTCCAGCAGATTTGGCAACCGAAGAAGGACAGGACAAGTTGATCAACGAGACTGTCAAAAAGTTTGGGCACCTCAATATTTTGGTGAACAATGCTGGAACAGCATTCTCAGACGCCGAAGGACGCATTGGGCTGGATCAACCCGTTTCGGATTTTGATAAGGTTATGCGCATTAATTTGAGAAGTGTTGTTACCTTGACCCAGAAGGCTAAGGATCACTTGATCAAAGCGAAAGGAGAAGTTGTAAATGTTTCTAGTATCGCTGGTGGACAACAAGCGGTAAGTTGGAGTGTGTGGTTTGTAGTTTCTTCATAGACAAGATAAAGTTCTTCAAATAGCTTTATCATGTAGATCTCGTCAAATTTCTATTATAATTAGTTCAGTTGGTCAAGAACAATCGCGTCTGAAAAGAGCTATGACTTGACCCGGTATTTGTCCGTTTCAGGATGTTTCTGCCCGTTTGCAAGTAATTTAACTTTCAGATGACTGGCGCTATGTACTACGCAATGACCAAATCCGCTCTTGATCAATTCACCAGAAGCACAGCCATTGATCTCATTGACCACGGAGTTCGTGTCAACTCTGTGAGCCCTGGAGTAGTTGTGACTGGAATCGGTGAGGCTATCGGGATGCCCGAAGGATCTTTCGAGAAGGTTTGGTTGGTCTGACACTGGGATCGTATGTAAAACTGTTACAGATGGCTGAATTTTTGGAGTCCAGAAAAGAATGCATTCCTTGCGGGAAAGCTGCTCAACCAATCGACATCGCAAATGTCATCGCATTCTTGGCAGACCGTAAACTCTCTTCGTATATCATTGGACAATCGATGGTGGCCGATGGAGGATCCTCGTTGATCATGGGAATGAATACAGTTGATATGAATAGCATTTTGACCTCTTCTTGATTCCAGTAAACATGCACAAACAATTTTAATCTTTTTTGAATAAATTGTTCCTGTCACAAATACCACATTTGTTAACATGTTGTTTGTACTGTTTCACGTCAAACTGAAAAAAAAGAGTTATCAGTAAAAGAGAGCGCAGAGAAACTACGAAGTATATAAAGAAAGTTGGCAGAGTGTTAAACTTACCAAAACTCAGTTTTTGTCTCTATATTCATACGAAAAACAATGACTCGCTTCGAAGGAAAAGTCGCTATTGTCACAGGTACTTACTTAAGATCAATTATCTCGGTTACTGTACCAGATATCAGAAAATGATGAGCTAACAAACTATTTAGTACATCCTGGAAAACAGTTTTTCAGTTGTTTCTTTTTTTTCACCTCTCACAGGAATTAAGATAATCAAGGCTGTTCAGGATCCTCCAGCGGAATCGGCCGCGCTACTGCTCTTCTTTTTGCCCAGGAAGGTGCCAAAGTGACCATCACGGGAAGAAACACCGAACGTCTCGAGGAAACCCGTCAACATATTCTGAAGTCTGGAATTCCAGAGGACCATGTTTTGTCAGTAGTTGCTGACCTGGTCAAAGACGAAGATCAGGACAAGCTGATCAACGAAACAATCTACACATTCGGCCATTTTGACATTCTAGTGAACAATGCTGGAACCGCATTTGTTGACTCTCACGGGCGTGTTGGGTTGGATCAGGACGTTTCGGATTATGATAAGGTTATGCAAATCAATCTGAGAAGTGTGGTGACATTGACACAGAAGGCCAAGGAGCATCTGATCAAGACCAGAGGAGAGATTGTGAATGTGTCGAGTGTGGCTGGTGGACATCAGGCGGTAAGTGTGTTACCAAAAGGCTTGAACTATTCCCGAAGTAAGCGGATTAAAATAAACTTGACAAACATACATAGAATCAACGAGTTTTTCGTCTGGGAAAACAAAGATTCAAATATGGAAATCACTGGTACAGTACCCAAAAACATTTTCAGATGCCCGACATGCTCTATTACGCAATGTCCAAATCCGCGCTCGACCAATTTACCAGAAGCACGTCTATCGCCCTAATTGCTCATGGCGTTCGTGTGAACTCTGTGAGCCCTGGAGCAGTTATTACTGGAATTGATGAAGCCATGGGAATGCCAGCAGGATCTTTCGAGAAGGTTGGTATGATATATTGTTACTGTGTCGGAGGGGAAGGGTATTTCTAATAGGGGTCGCATAGTTTGATGTCTCGTTCCATTTCCCCTCATTTTCTTTCAGATGGCCAAATTCTGGGAGTCCAAAAAAGAGTGTCTACCAAATGGACGTGTTGGTCAACCAGATGATATCGCTAATATCATCGCATTCCTGGCAGATCGTAAACTCTCATCGTACATCATCGGACAAACGATCGTTGCTGATGGTGGATCTTCGCTGGTTATGGGAATGCAGGCACATGATATGATGGAGATTTTGAAGCAACAATAATTGATATTGTGTGAACTTCTGCTTGTATTGTAATGCTTTATGTGTAAAAGGAATCAGATCAAAAAATATGTAACTCGGCTTGAAAATGAATGTTGAATACTTTGAGCTTGATAATGGCTCAATTGGTCTGAAAATTGGTAATTATAGGTTTTTCCGCGTGCTGAATCGAACTGCGTGCACCGAATTTTGCTACCATCTTATGTTTTCTCAGAACACTCCTTTAGGAGGTGGGTTCTATCTTCATGACGCGGACTGCACTGTATTAGTAAATTTCGGGAAATCCGATTCACTACCGTATGCTACACTTTGAGCTCAATTATCTCGGTTTCTGTAAGAGATATCGAAAAGATTCTAACTGATAAAATGTTTGCTATAAAATTGCCAACAATTAGTGATTTGCAAGTTTTAGATAACTTTTACAGGTATTGAGATAATTTTGCTAAACCGGTCAAAGTATGCTACGTGCGTTTCAGCATTGATCTTAAAATCATTGTCACGAATTTCCACTTCTCTAATTCTCCACTCTCTCCCTCTTTCCAGCTTCCTTGATTTTCTGCACCCAAAACGTCATAATTATCATTATTCTGTTTAGTATATAATGGGCGTTGTTTAACAACTCCTTATCAGTTCCTCCTTTCCGCACTCGACCATGAATCCAACTCTGACCATTGCTCTCTCCCTGCTCTCCCTATCCCATGCGGACCTTCTTTTCCCATTTTCCTTATCAGATGATGTGATAAGCTATCAGGCTCTGTTGGAAGCACCCAGTAGCAATAATTCATTTTGTCAAGATATTCAATTGAATTATTGTCAGGTAAAATATTTTTTAAATGTTTTTTAAGGAAAAAAAGTTGTTTCAGTATCAGTTTGGTCAAACTTTCGGACTCGATGACTCGGTTAGCTATAAAAATGGAACAATGATTTATAATGCAGTGAACGCTCTATTGAATTCTAACGTCACAGAGTTCCGGAAAATTTGCAAGTGAGTGAAAAATTTGTTCAGGAATTTTAGATTTGTCGGAAAGTTCAAGAATATACTGAGCAAAATTAGAGCTTCGCTTTTACAATTGACAATTTTATCGTAAAATTTCATTCTGATGAGATATGCCGTAGAAAGGGCCGAAAGACCAATGAAAAGAGGGTTGTGCCATTTTTGAGCGTCTTATCTCGTTTTATTGAATTTGTACAAAAAAGTTGTCAATTACGAAAGTGGAGCTCTGTTTTTGTTTAGTAAACTCTGAAAATTTCAGATGAATCGAATAATTGAATTGTTATAATTCTGGACCCATTTTTGATTTTTTGCTAATTTCCAGAGCCCGATCCAATTTCCATGCCTGTCTTGGACCGACTTATTATACGTGCCTGAACCTTCACAATCGAGTCAGTGATACCACATTTGAAAATGGTAAGTTATATTTTCTGGAATCAATTGAGAAAAAAATATACAACATTTCAGCTTTCGACTATGTCAGAACTTTCCGAGGACTCGAATGGCTCTGTGGAGGAGGTTACAAGGGTAGGTTGATTTCAGCTATGCGGTTGCCTACACTTTATGGTTTTAGAAGTCAGAAGTGTAAACCACTAAAACCTGAACAACCAAATAATAAAATCTGAAAAACATCCTTTCCAGATGTGATCCACGAGTTTGATTGTATCAAAACTGGAACATTCTCTGGCGTCTACCAATCATGTATCAACACTTTCAACCAAACCGTATTCCCCGACAGCAGTTTCTGCGGGTTAGTCATGTTTAGTAGTAGAGCGCATTCTCTATATTTTTATGTTTCAGATCTGTTCAAACTGCTGGTAACTGTTTGCATGATGCTTATGCTGAAGTTTGTGGACTCGATAATGTGAGTTTATTTCTTGAAATTAAAAAAATACATTTTTCGAAATTTTCAGGGTGGTCATTTTGCATGTGAAAACTTCCGTTTCAACTTCGACAACGCTTGCAAACAAATGAGATGTCAACTCAACTAGATTTTGAATTTTGTAAATAAAAAGTTTTGTATACTGTATACATTTTTTGTTTTGGTTTTCAGAAATTGAGAAATTGGAGAAAAAGTGGAAACGGTCTTTTCAAAATTTAAGAACTTTGGGCAGATGGCTAGAATCTACGTATTTTGAAATTTCAAAGTAACCGAATTTTCAAAGGCACGGTCGCCAATTTTTGATCTCTCAGAAGTCACAAAATTTTGTGTTTCTAGCTTCACCCGTTTCTCTTTCTCTCACTAATTGTCTTTTTGACCCCAAGGTCAATAAATCTGTCGGAGAAATGTCATCATGTCAAACACAGACACAAAAGGGCGGGGCTTGTATGAGAAAAAGTACATAAGAAAATATTTCGGAGAAGATTCTGGATATTTTTTACATCATTTTTCATATTTTTTGATATGACATTGAAAAAATGCAAAATTCCAGCAAAAACAATGCCCCGTTTTTCTGGAAAAACCGTCATTATAACTGGATCTTCAAATGGTATCGGGCGATCAGCAGCTCTAATTTTTGCTCAAGAAGGAGCAAATGTGACCATCACAGGAAGAAATTCCGATCGTCTCCAGGAGACAAAACAGCAAATTCTGAGATCTGGAATCCCAGAAATCGGAGTTAATTCTGTGGTGGCTGATGTGACGACTTCTGAAGGACAAGATGAATTGATAAAAACCACTTTGGAGAAATTCGGGAAAATTGATATACTGGTGAGTATACTATTTCATTTTCAAACGAAATAAACAATTTTGAACGGCCTTCACAATACTGTAAAATTCAGCTAAATGCAGGATACTGTGTGAACAATTTTTTTTTTAAATTTCAGGTCAACAACGCCGGTGCAGCACACTCGGACCCAACTGGGGCATTGGCTAGCGATCAGGGACTTGATGTGTATCATAAGAATATGGGATTGAATATTCAATCGGTGGTTGAGATGACCCGGAAAGTAAAACCATATTTGATTAAGAGCAAGGGAGAAATTGTCAATGTGTCGAGTATTGCAGGTGGACCTCATGCGGTAAGATTCAGAGACACAAAACAAAAATATCATTACAAATAACATTCACCTGATTCCGTATGTTGATTTGTATGTCGCGCCCCTTTTAACCCGCTCGAAGTTAACCGATTGAGCTGAAACCTGGACAACTTAGATCAGAAATGTGTCTAATTGGATGCCGGAATTGGATTCTTTTTTTGAAATTTTGATTTTGAAGTCTTCTGGAAACGCTCCTTGGTTTCACTACAGTGAAGGGTGGAGCAGAGCAAGAGGGGGACTTTTATACAAACCGAGACAAACGACCTCAACAGTATTATCTTTTCAGCAACCCGATTTCCCATACTACTCAATGGCCAAAGCGGCTCTTGATCAGTACACTCGAGCTGTGGCCATCGACCTGATTCAGTACGGAGTACGTGTAAACTCGGTGAGCCCTGGAGTCGTAGCAACTGGGTTCGCTGGTGCCATGGGATTGGAAGATCAAGCGTCAAAAAAAGTGAGTGACGGAAATCAGGCCTCCAAAATATTGAAGAAAATTCAGTTCTACGAATATTTGTCCAGCGAGAGAAAGGCGATACCGGCGATGGTTGCTGGGACTCCAGAGGATATTGCCTGGATCATTTTGTTTCTTGCTGATCGAAAAATGTCTTCATATATCATTGGACAATCGATAGTTGCCGATGGAGGAACTACACTGGTTCTGGGAATTGATTTTAAAGAAGCTATGCAATGATTTTTATTTTATTTAAACTCCATTTGATTAACTTGAGGTATACATAAAAATTCTATGTCGTGAATGTACTTTGATCTCAATATAAAAATTTTTCCATGCAATTTTTTATCTCTTACTGTAAGAGTCTCACAGAATCGATTAAGTAGTAAGTGCAAGTATGAGGGTTATGTTCTTGAAATGAAATCAATGAATTGAGCTGGAGTGAGCTGGTGGTGCATGTCCATGACCATGTCCGTGTTGACCGACCATAGAGACAGTGGTAGTGGATTTTGTATGAACATGAGATCTCTGAAAAAACCCAAATTTTTTTCCTCTCACTCCATTTTTTGTGGTTTACCTTCAATCTAAACATTCTGGAGACCCCACTACGAATGGTGGTATTCATGAAGAGGTAGATGAACGCTGGACATCCGTGTCCGAGTTGCCAGGAAATGTGTCCGATGACAATGACGAAATCGGCGACTGGGAAGAATTGCATGTAGACGTAGACCATGGCGGCGACAAAGTTGACCAAGCAGATGAGTGTGGATTGGAGGAAGATCTGAAGAAAAGAGATCAGAGGTTGGGAAGTAGTAAGCTCGTGAGCCTAATCTTTTGATGAGATCGTAAGATCGTTAATCATAATCTAGATCTTAAGATCGTTAATCATTTCTCAAACGATCCCAATTTGGAACGCTATTGTGAAGAACTGCCCCACCTTCTTACCACCCTCACAATTCCAAAAACTTCTTGAGATCTCGATTACCCGTTTCTGACTTGCCCCCATCCCTTTGATCTTGCCACTATCTCTCTTTTCCTTCCCCACATTAGGACTAACTCTTGCGGGTTAGTCCTTCGTAGCTTCGTTTTTTACCATTTTCTTCCCCCGGTTACCATCACTCCTTATTTCTCAAAATCCTTCGAATAAACGAAATAAATATATAATCTGAGTCTGAAAGCTCGTAAGTTCGAAGGTATTTTCTATTCAAAATAATCGCGCGAGCGTGAACGAGTAAAAAAATGCGTCTCTACAGCGCCTCTACAGGTTTGGAGACTCTCTACACGTTTTTTTACTTGTTCACTCGTGTGATTATTTTGAATAGACAATAGTGAAGCTCCTCAAAACCTCGTAATACTTATATACGTAACACAGAGACTCTAGACCATAAAAGACTTTAAAGTCAAAATCCTAGGACCAAATATCATCAAATATTATCAAATTAACTCAGATCTTGGCATTGTAAGGATTTCGCCTTCCGAACTAGGGGTTTTCAGAAAACCTCTGAAGAAGTTTAACCTGTCATCAAAGTTTTACCGCTTGCGCTACGCGATTGCTATGCTAGTCAATGCCAGCTTACCTGTGAATGAGATCTCTTATTAGTCGACTCCACCCTCTTCCTGAACTGCTTGGCAATAGCGGCACAAAAATATCCATAAAGCGCACATGTGGCAACCACGATGAACAAATTGTTCGCAGTATGTGGGTAGTTTTGGTACTCCAGGGTCTTGTCTGGAAACTATCTTATTTCCTAAGACCTTGATATACTTTTAGTACCTGCATAGATGAATGGGTCGAAGAACCAGGCTTGGTATTTCGAAGTGAAGAGGAGTGGGGGAGTGAGAAAGATGAAATAGAGTCCGTACGCGACTGGAATCATGAGAACCATGGTGGTTCGCGATCCGGAGAAGTATTTTTTAACCAAGGTTGGGAAGAGGATGTCTAGGACACGATTGAGCACAAGAATCAGACAAATCAGGCAGGCTGCGCACCAGAGACCGAGTCCCAGGGAGCCGGCGATGAAAATTGCATTTGGGTGGGAGCAGTAGACGGCTCCCTCGATTAGAAGGATTCCAGTGGTTACTGAGTTGACGCCTGGAATAGAATATAGAGATCTAAAAGTTGTGTTTCTAAAAATCATGAAAATTCTGAGATTCCTTAGAGCCGGAGGTACCGCGCTGCTGACCTTTGTGAACATCACACTTACCAATGGCACACAAATCGATGAAACCAAGCAAAAACATGATTTTGAAACACGAAAGACGTATATTCTCCTTCTGCATCATCACACAGAGACATGGAACATAGAGCATCATGATAATGGTTCCGTAGAGCAAATCGATGTATCCGAGGACCGGACGAGGTGTACCATCCTTCAGAGTGAACTCTTCAGGCGTCGCGTACTTTTCGCTGGAATGAAAAATGAGGTGTTTTAAGATTTTGGGGTTCCTAGGGTTCTTAGGGTTCTTACAAGGGAACCATGTTTAGCCTTCATCTCAGAATTTTTTCTAAACTTGCTCATTTATAGTTTCAAATACGGGCTTTCTTTTGATGTATTTGGTTTTCTGCACGAATTTCTAGAAGTCGAGTTATGGGCTGTTTAAGTGATTTCAGTACTATTTTCTCACTTTTGGAGTGAGTTTTTGAAAGGGTTAATGGGAGTTTTTTGGCATTGTTTGAGTGTCAATCGTAATTTTAAAGGTTTCTCTACAATCTGACAAAGTTTCCTCATTTTTCAAAAAAAAAAAGTTTTTGAAAAAATTTTTGCCATGGGTACCCCCCTTTGCGAAATTTTCAATTTTTCGAAAATTTTTTAAATGTGTTAAAATGAATCATAAACGCATAAAAATGATAAAATGAGTCTTTTCACAAAATTCTGTAGCCTATATCCGTTTTGAAATCCGAAATAAGTGATTTCTTCCAAAACTCCAATGAATCGTAGTCCTTCGAAAATCGCCCAATAGCACTCAAATATTGTGAAAACGTAGATTTACATACTTCTTGACTGATTTATAACAGTTCCGCAACCAATATGATCAAATAGGGGGATTTCGACTGACATTTTGAGTAGATAAGGCTTTTCAGCAGTGCTTCAAGAATTTTTCAGAAAATGTCTTTTTCGAGCTTTTTTCCTACTGAAATAATAGAGCAAACATAGATTTTCGAAAAGTTCAAAGCATTCCTCCAGCATCAAAGAAAAAAAAAGAAAAAAGAAAATGGACAGTGACGGAATCGAACTTGTGATTACTATTCATCCCCACTATCCTCGGCCACTGTTGCTCGTTTTTTCCACAGTGGAGAATGTATAGGAGAAAGGGGGGAAAGTGGAAGGGAAGGAGGAGACCAAAAAAACAGTATATTTTCAGATGGACTTTTCTCGGCTTCTAGAAATTTGTGCAGAAAACCGAATACACTACGAGAAAGCCCGTATTTGAAACTATATAAGAGCAAATTTAGAAAAAAAATCTGAGATGAAGGCTAAACATGGTTTCGATTTTGGTTAGGTTTCTTGGATTCTCAGATTCTCAGATTCTCAGATTCCTTGCATTCTTAGGATTCTAAGGGTTCTTAGGATTCTTAGGGCTTTTAGGATTCTTAGGATTCTTATGGGGTTTAGACTTAAAAAAGACCAACCTGCAATTGAAGTTATAGATCCTGTTGGCATCTCCACCGGCAGCAATCAACCACTCCATTGCTCAGACTCAGAATCTGCTCGTTTTCTGGCTCTATGCTCTTTATATATCTTCCTACCGTAACACTCGAAATAAAAAAGTGGGAGGATCGGATTAAGTCTGAAATCACATTTCTAGAACAATAATAGGTTTTTTTCTGTGAATTTTTTTCAATGAAAAATACGGATTATGACGGGTGGAGTAATCCCAATTTTTCACTACTACTACGCAGCTATTGAAATTTCGGGATTAAAATGCGTAAGCAATTGAATTTGATGAAATTTTGAATCAAAAAAGAAGAAAATGGGTATAGACGAATAATGGGAAAAGATTAGATGAAAATTTAACTTTTTGAACCCAAAGAATCTGAAAGAATGTGAGAAAAAAAAAGCAAGAAAAAGGAAAAATTATGAATCAGACAAAAATCGGAGGAAGTAAAAAATTTTCATTATGAAGTCTGAAAAATATTTCTTGTATTTTGGAAGGTATTTTTTGTAAAAAAAAAGACAACGATTCCTTTTCAAATTTTTTCTTCAATCCGTTGATCGCAAAAATCAGTAAATTAAATTTTCCGAATTTTTTTCAAGTACGTCAATGGGAAAGTGTCCCACGGTTTTGTCTTGGGTGATCAGGTAATTTCTCAGAACTTCAAAAATCAAAAATTTTCAGAAACTCCAAAAATTCGAAACTTCTAAAATCCAGTGTTCTGGAAAGTGATATAATCGCAAATTTCGAAATTTTAGAAAATCCCGTAAAATCCAGAATATCAGAAAATTCAAGAATTCCAAGCTTCCAGGAAACTAGAAAATCACAAGCTTGGGAATTCAAAAATGTTGAAAATCCAAAATTCGGTTCTGGAAATACATACATCATTCCAGGATATAAATTCAGAGAATTTCCAAAAGTTGATGTTTTAAAAATCAAGAAACTTAAAATTAATGTTTTAAAAATTCTATAATCTCGCTTAATTCTCAAAACTCCAAAACCTCAAATACCATCAAAATTCAAGAAAATCTAGAAAATTTCAAAAACTCAAAAGTTTTAAATCTTCCCAAATTCCAGAAAAAAAACTGATCCATTCTATTTTCCGTGATTTTCATTCTGCAATTTTCAAAAATCACAAAACTGCACAATTTTTCAGAAGTATCAAATCCTGATTTGATTTTCATAGAATTCTGCAGAACGGGAACCAGAAACTTTTATGTCACAATTTTCGAAAATTGGATTATCTGAAAAAATTTTGAAGACGTCACCAAACATGTTTTCTGATCTAACAAAATACAATAATAGGTTTTTTTGAACTGAAAAATTGGAATAACTTCACTGAAAATTTTCAGAAATTCAAACCGTCTTACTTGTAATTATATTCTCCGAGATTTTTGTTCAACAAAAAATACAGGAAGAATTTCCAGAAATCACAAAACTGGAAAATATCTTTATTTCGGAACTTTTAGATCCATATTCAGTTTTTATAGAACTGTTCACAACAAGAACAAACAACTTTTGTGTCACAACAAAAATTGGATGATCTGAAAAAAAATTCTGAAGGTGACGTCTAAAGATGTATTTTCCAGTTCACCAGGCTACAAAACAGAAATAATGGTTTTTTTCTAATCTAGAAATCCGACATTTTCTTTTTTATCTTTGAAAAAAAATGATTGGGAAAACATCTCAATTAAAATCTAAAGCATAAGAACTCGGTGTGAGAAAGTTCCTGGGAAAATTAATTTTTTATGTGAAAATCGAAAAAAAAGGAATCGGATTTTATCAATTTTCTCTCGTTTCATCAATGGCAAAAATCCCCACGGTTTCCTGTCTGAAAAAAAAAGAGTACTCTGTCTAGTTTCCTAGATGATTATTGAAATGTTTCAGACAGTAGATCCTAGATGATTATTGAAATGTTTCAGACACTTGGGTCTAAGGTAACGGGTCAAAAACGCGTCTCAAATAACTTTTAGGCCAGAAGAAACTTAATAATTTCAAAGTTGGATTTCACCTATTTTTTCTAATCAACGAGTTGCAACGCTTGATTTTTTCGCCCAATCTTTAAAAGTTTGATCCTCAGCCAACCAATTCAGAAGCGATTTTTTTTCTAAAATATCACGTTTACTGGGGCGCGATTTCTGACCCGCTGTCTTGGACCCCAGTGTAGAGGAGACAATAGGCTTTTTGAAATTCTGAAATTCGGAAAATCACGTGATTCTAGAAATACAGACGATTCAAGATATCTGGAAAATATGAATCAATCTGGAAAATAGAGTTTTTGTATTATTGCATAAAAAGACTGCGAATTTTAAGTGTCATCCCATATATTCATTTCAAGTACCATTTATTTAATGTTGCGCCTTTTTAGAAATTTCTGTTATCTCTAGCAAAACTGTCACAGGCTACAAATGCTTATTATACTGAAAATAGACAGGAAATTCTTCAACAACTGTATCAATAAACAACTGGAAAGTTGGTTGGTGATGTTTGACTTCGTGTAGTCGGCACCACTTTTTTGTTGAGGAGCACGTTGCACACAACGAACGATTCAATCACAAGTCCCAGCTGTTTGCAAAGCGATCCTAGAGGTCCGACGGTTTTCGTGTTAATGTCGGGCCATTGGGCGGTGAGAAAAACTGGGAAGAAATCGAATGCAAAAATAATGAAAGAATCGAGTAGGGAGATCCAGGTTGCCTGAAGAATGGGCAATTTGAGAATAAAGGAAAAGAGGAGCCTGAAACACTTACTCTTGAAATAGCCTTATTTTTGGCTCCCTTCTTACAGTTGTTCCAGATGAATAGTCGGAAGAAAAGTATGATGGATAATGTGCCAATTAGAACGTACATGATCTGAAAATATTTTGTTTCAGAATGTTGTTCATATAACCCCCTCGGAGAGTTTAGTTGTGAGCCCACCGTTAAAGCTACGGTAGTGGAGGTTGCGGCTCGCGCGACAATATCAATTTCTCCTGTTGTCGCGCTAGCCGCTTACTTTAAAAAAACGAGTAAGCAGCGCGCGCGACCGCAACAATCTTCTATCGTCGCGCCAGCCGCTCATTCAACAGGGAGTAAGCGACGCGCGCGACAGGAAAAAATCGGCTCTATCGAAGATGGATCCTTTCCGAAAAGGAGGGTCAATTCAGGAAAGATGGGTCCTTTCGGGAATGATGGGTTCTTTCAGAAAAGATGGGTCCTTTGAATTTTTACATCTGTAATCGTTTTCTACTGCATTTGAGAAGACATGTAAATAAAAAAAACACGAAAAAAATAAGTGGCTAAAAATCTTTAAAATTCAAAATGTTAATAAAAATCGAAGTAGAAAACGATTACCTGTGTAAAAATTCAAAGGATTCATCTTTTCTGAAATTACCCATCTTTGCAGAAAGGACCCATCTTTTCTCAAAGGTCCCATTTTTTTCCGAAAAGACCCATCTTTGCTGAAAGGGCCCATCGTTTCGGAAAGGAACCATTTTTGCCGATAGAGCCAAAAAATCTTTGCTGAGCGCAGAAGGGGGTCCTGCTGAGAGTGACTAGCTGAGTTTCAGAGATTTTTCGGGGTCATTTTAGGCTTATTTTAGGCAGTTTAAATTCATTTTCAGCTTATTTCAGATTATGTTGAGCTTATATTTGGCCGATTCCGGCGCCTTTTAGCATCGATTTTCTATCATTTTTTAAAAATTCAAACTCCTGCCCCTCCCTTTGTCTTTAATATTCCACCACTAACCTGCTGATACCATTTCCAATAGTTGTGGTAGCATGTTTCAATTGCACATCGGAACGTATTGCAATCTAATGGAATGTCAATTTCGAAGCTACAATACACGAATAGAATGTAATTCTCAAAAAGCGCATAGGAAAAAATAAACAGGAATACTCCGGAAAGCGGAAATTTCGATCGATTATTGTGATAGAAAATTGGCGTACAAGTTGCTAGAACTCGATCCAACCCAATAGAAAATACGAGCCAGCATCGGATAGTACCGAGCTGAAAATTCGGCCAGGCAACGTAAAATGGAAAGTTTTTGATATAATTTTGATCAGTTTCATATGTGTGCAACATATAGTAAAGATAAATCGATACTAAAAAAATTTGAATAATTGTATAGCTTTTTTTATTAGGTTGGCGGGAAAGTCTTTGTCACTTTTTCAATAGTTTATTTCTCAAAGAAAAAATAACCGAATAATTAATTATATTGTCCATCATTATCAACAACATGTCTCCAACGTTCCCTCAATTTATGGATTCCATTGCGGTAGAATCCAGCCGGGCGTGAGGCAAAGTATTGTTTGAGTGCCGCTTCGACCGCTCCACGGGAATTGAAGCTTCTTCCTTCGAAGGCACGTGTCATATCGCCAAATAACCAATAGTCGGAAGGAGCAAGATCAGGAGAATACGGGGGGTGAGGGAGAACATTCCATCCATATCCCATCAGCTCCTGCTTCACTTGTTTCGAAACATGTGGGCGAGCGTTATCATGTTGATAGTACACTTTCTTGTCTTTCAGGGCCGAACGGTCGACTGCTTTCTTGAGGTTTCGTAGTTGAGTAGTGTAGAGGTCTCCAGTTATTGTTTTGCCCTCGGGCAGAAGTTCCAGTAGATGGGGCCGTCCACTCCCCACCACACAGAGAGCATAACTTTTTTCGGATGAAGGTCGGGTTTGGGGACATCCTGTGGGCTCTCTCCTTCTCCAACCCACTGGGATTTCCTGTGGTGATTATCGTAGAAGACCCACTTCTCATCTCCGGTTATTAGCCGGTCCAGCCATCGATCGCCCGCGTGGAGAGTGAGAAGAGTAATCGAATCGTCGACTCGGCGGTCAAGGTTGGCTTGAGTCAGGTGATGAGGTATGAATCGACCAAAAAGTTTTCTCATTCCAAGAGACTTCAAACCTTCAAGGACTGTGCTATGGTGAACTCCGAATGTGACAGCTAGTTCACGGCTAGATTGAAATGGATCCGATTGCAATGCGTGCTTCAGCTTGTCCAAATCCAACTCACGGGGTCACCCAGAGCGATCCTTTTCATCGAGCGAGAAGTCATCTTTTTCGAAACGATGGAACCAATTGCGAATAGTATTGTAGTGAGGGGCATGTGTGTTGTACACATTCTTCAAGAAAGTTTCCGAATCCTTCATCGTGGTGTGAGATAGGAAGAGGTAAATCAAAACATGTCTGATGTGAATAGCAGTGGGAACAAACATATCGTTTCAATTACAGATGAGGAGCAGGGAAGGAGATGGGGACTTGTTTATATGGAAGGTTCTTATCACCTTGTTATTCACTAGAGTCGATATCATACACAGCCTCCATATACGAGAACAGTGATTAAACAAACAGAGTGACAAAGACTTTCCCGCCAACCTAATAGAACTCACAGTTTGATGATTGAAAGAAATCAACAACAAATCGATAGTAGATGAGTGTCAAATCCATCTTTTTCTGAGCATTTTTCTTTCCACTGTTCGTATAAATTAGATAAATATTAAACATAACATTTACCAAAGCAAGGAAAAATGAAGAAATCGTTACTATGAAAATTGCAGTTGACACCATTTTTCAGAAACGATGACGAAAGGAAACGCAGAATGTGCCACTGACTAACATCTCTTGTTATTCTTTTTACACTCTGATGAGTTCATTTCCTGCATGAAGACAAGAAAAAAGAAAACTATAAACAACTAATGATTATGGCTGAAACAATCAGTGCATATGCTAATGTGATCACATTTTTTCTTAAAGGGGATATGGGGCGACTTTGTGTTTCTGTAGGAGGATAAAGATTGAAGTTAAGGAGAGATGAATCAGAGCTGAATGTAAATTAAATGTGATGTTAGCATTCGGTAAAAACTTTAATGGGGGAGGGGCAGGAAAATTTTCGGGGTTTCACAAAAAAAATTAGGTGAGTGTGTTCACGCAGTGTAACTACCGTTCAGCTTTCATACAGTACCGTTCAATGAAATATACGAAAATTCCTTTTTCAATAGAACTTTGACCATTTTGACCATTTTCAGGAGTCTGAAGGTCGGCTGTCAAATTTCTGATCACTTTGAAAATTTTGAAGGGTGTAAAACAGACCAAATTTTAAAATTTTGCATTCACAGAACTTTTGGAGGTTCCTTGTTTTACAGTTATTTGCCGATTTCTTGAAGACAATCTTGTTTCGTTTTTGTGCTAAAACGTAAAGAAATGTGTCTTTCAGAAATCGAAAAATAGCTAAAAAAAACTAGGAATTTCTGAAAAATACGGAAAAAGCAAAGTTTTCGATCTAATTCTGCTTTATAGCCTTCAATGTTTTCAAAGTGATCGGACACTTGACAGCCACCATGCACTTATGAAAATGGTCGAAATTGGGAAAAAAATCATACGAAAAAATCGTTTTTGAATATCTTACTGACCAGTACTGAATGAGAAAAATTTCATAAAGTGTATTGATTCTCATGCCCCTTTTATTTCAATCTTGTTTAAAATTGTCTGTGAAATGAATATTCTAAAAACGAATGCAGAAATTAGAAATTCAACATCCATCACTTGGTTTCACTTGTACAACAGATATTGAATTCGCATTTCTTGCAGTTTGATTCCACTTCAATGTTCTCACCACCAAATACCCTTCCAAAGAGTATCCACTCATTTTAGTGAACGAAAATATGGGTCCGACATCATCAAAGCCCACAGTTGGGAACTTTGTTAGAACTATTGGTGGAATCACATCGAAAACGAAAATTATCGAAATATCGAATAATGCTAGGCGATTTGCCTGAAATCACATTATATTTATTTTGCTAACAGCAAGCTGGTGCGCCTTCGGCGCTATTCAATTTAGTTTTTTACTGGTTCGTGGTTCTGCTCCTCAATTATTCTTAAAGGATCACGTAAATCTATATTCATTTTTCAAGCTTTTCAAAAGTCGACAGAGTGACACCGGGACCAACAGACGCATCTAGCGTTTTATATATGAAGAAGATATTTTCAAAAACCTACTTTCGTTAAATCTTTGTTTTCTGCAACGTTTGAGCACTTGTTCCAGATGAAAATTTTGACGATGAGCATCAGAGATAAAAGCGCTATCACGCCATGAATTATCTGAAAATCCGAATCAACTACAGGACTACCACAAGGCTTACCATTTCATAGGATAAAAAGTAGGTCAAATGACAGTTGTTACCAATGCAGTCTAATGTAACACAACCTTTAGGAATATTCAGTTTGTAATCACATATCACCCAAAAAACCAGGTTATCGACACCACAATAACTGAATACGCCTAGAGCGATGGCTACATTTGAAATTTTATTTCTATGATTATGATACGAAATTGGTGAAAAAACCGCGAAAATTCGATCCAACGTAATTACAGCTGCTAGGAGACCCCGGATACTGAGAAGATTTACCACTGGCCATGTGATATAGAATATGGTATATAAATATGGGTCTTGGATATTGAAAAATTTCAAGTAAGTAGTTGACAATGTGAGGAGGTCTAAAATATTTTCATTTTAAATGAAATTCAGGATCAATAACATTTCCAAAACTGAGCAAAAATTGAGAAAGAATCGGACATAAAACAGTGTTAAGCCGGAAGACTTTTTCAGTTTTTTGGATCTAAAAGTGGATTAATTAAATTTATTTATTCCATATTTCATCAAATGACTAACATGAAAAGATTGTACAGTAGATAGGAATGAATTAATAAAGATACGAAAGCTAGGAGGACAGATATCGAGGAATTGAAAATAGGCAGCCAAGACATAAGTTTTTTTTTGGTTCGAAAATTTCACATCTAACCAGAAAATGAAAATTTCACATCTAGTCAGAAGAAAACAAACGGAGAAAAAAATGTTTAATTAATGGAACACAAATTATAAAGCAGCACATTTACAAAAAATTATAAAGCCAACGGTGTAGCTGGAACGACTTTTGATGTTTTTCGATTTTTTGCGAGCCTGTGTTTGAGGTTTCTGAAAACAAAAAAAAAATCAAATTCCATTTGCCGTGTCTTCAATATTACCTTGAGCCCAATCCTTCTCAAAACTCCATTTTTCAATGTTTTATTGAATTTACAGTAAATCAAAACTGGAGAACAAGTTGGTACATAAAAGTGCCGAGCAGTATCATCCAATACGGTATCACTATGTAGTTCAAAATTACGTAAATTATTGCAGCTGACATGTTTACGGCACAAATCATCGCGGATTGGAAGAATATTTGAGTGCTGGCGTTTTGAGATTGTGATTGCGTCCCTGTAGCTTTCAATTTTGAGCATAGGGCACAGCAAAAAACCGAGGTGGTGAGACATAAAAGAAAGTCTTACCGATGTTCTTCCTTAAGCCTAACTAGGGAACTATCTGGAGTCCTCTCCAAGTTACACTTCATGACCTATATCATTAAAAAGCCCATAAAAGTCTGATTCGGAATATGGTTTCTGTTTTTGCGAAACGGCGGGGAGTTGCGAGAAAATTAGGTCACAACACAATTTAGTGCTAGTTAAACCTGTTGACTTTTCATTGAAAATCGACGTGATTGAAAATCGAACATATTCCGAATTCATTGAAAATCGAACATATTCCAAATCAGATTTTATGGGATTTCTAATGATATAGGTCATGAAGTGTAACTCGGGGGCGACTCCAGATAGTTCGCTAGTAAGAGTTTACCTTGAAAAATGTAAACACCGATCACACTGTAGAATACCTCACCTCGGTCTCCTTGTCTTTAAAAATCATGGGATCAAAAACCGAGCATGATATTCCGATGTGAAACAAACTGGAGTGTTGAAAAACACAAAGTAAAATCCATACAAAACTGGAACTGTCAAAATTAGAAACGTACGGTTTCCTCCAAAAACAAAAGAACCAAGGTTGCGAAGAATAAGGTCTAACAATCTGTTGGTCACCAGGATTACAGCAATCACGCAAGAACCACTCCATAGACCCATTTCTGCCATTCCAACAATGTAGATTAAATTCGGATAGGTACAGTATACGGCACCCTGGTATGCGAGCCATCCGGTGATGAGGCAACTGCAGAGAACTGATACAATATCCACAATTGCTAATAGAGTCATTATTTTATAACATGACATGCCGAACTGCTCTTTTTCCAGCATGACATCAAGCATAGGAAAGTAGAGGACTTCAATGATAACTCCCCATACACCTTTTTAGTGAGGCCTAGGATTGGCCGCGGGACACTGTTTTTTTGAAACCAGTTTTCAGGACCATGAGCACTACAGTTATATAACGGAATGGATGATATGGAACCATACTTGATGATTTGATTCATTTTAATTTATTTCAGAAGCAGGGGAACAAAAAAATATTATTCAGTTGGGTGGCAAATTAATAACAAGAATAACGGAAATGTATTTTCGACTTGAAAATGCGAATTTTTCCAGAAACGATTTGATTCGTGAGAAAAACTTGGACTTTTTAAAGACTCTTTTAAATCTCCGGTCCACGATGATTCCCAAAAAGCACAACTTTTCTCCGATAGTTTCTCCAAAGTTTTCACTTCTGATGATGGCTTCACACCAACTTTCCCTAATCGCACAAACTCTATCATAAATAATCCGGATTTCAACCCATGCCTACTCGAGCTAATCCTTTCCAAATTAGCGCCTAAAGTCAACACGACCCCTGACGAGCTTCCAGCACTTTTCCTCAAAAAAACTTGCACAGCTATATCTATTCCTCTTTCCATCATCTTCCGAGAATCTTATCGTACTGCATGGGTACCAACGAGTTGGAAAACAGCTATAGTTAGACCTCTCCATAAAAAAGGAGTCAAGACTGACCCAAATAACTATAGACCAATATCACTAACTTCTTCTGTCGGCAAACTGATGGAAAAAATTGTCCACAAACACCTTATCTCTTTCTTGAATGACAACAACCTTCTGACTAACTCCCAATTTGGATTCCGCTCCAACCGTGGAACAGAATCCCAGCTTCTTTCTTACCAAGCAAGTTTACTCAATAATTATGCGTCTAAAACTACAACGCACAGTGTTTACATTGACTTTAAAAAAGCCTTTGATACTGTATCATTCAAAAAACTTTTGCTTAAACTAAAATCTTACGGGATTGTCTTTGAAATGCACAACTGGCTTTGCTCTTTTCTTACCAACAGAACTCAAACCATTGTTGTGAATGGTAAATTCTCCAAAGAAACAGAAGTTCTCTCGGGCGTTCCTCAAGGATCAGTTCTTGGACCACTTTTGTTTCTTATTTTCATTAACGATATAGGTGATAACTTCTCTTCAAATTTTCTTCTCTATGCCGATGACTTGAAACTTTTCTCTACTGACCCCACTAACATTGAAAGCGATCTTGACAAACTAGAAGACTGGTGTGACAAATGGCAGATGAGTGTTGCACCCACTAAATGTGAATCCATCTCTTTCTCTCACAAAAAACGGCTGAACACTATTAACAACCAGTTTTCCATTAATGACGAGAGACTTCCAACGGTTAAGATGATTCGTGATTTGGGAGTTATTCTCAATTCTTCGTTGACCTTCTCTGACCACCTCGGTACCACACTTCGGAAAGCACATCAAAGAATCAACATTTTCTTTAACATCCTCCGCCGGTGTACAATGGATATTTTTGTAAAATGCTTCATTATTTACATCCGCCCTATTCTTGAGTATGGTACAATTGTTTTCTCTCCCGTCATCAAGGAGCAAATCAGGCTCCTGGAAAGCGTCCAAAAATCTTTCCTCTATAGATGCTACAAAAAATTTAACTATCCCTATGTATCTTATTTCAATTGTCTCCGTGAGTATAACTTAGAATCTCTAGAGTATCGTAGACTAATTTCTGATCTAGTTTTCATGTATCAAATACTGGTTTCCCAGGAAGTAGCCATTGCTCATAATCTATTCATTTCTCCCTTCAATCACTCAAGTCTTAGACGTCATCCTTATTACATTCGTTGTACCTTAAAAAATTCGTCCAAACTTACTTCTCAATTTTTTACCCTTCGTATTGTATCATGTTGGAATTCGCTTCCAAAAACAGTTTTCCCTCTCATTATTTCCACTGTTTCTTTTAAAACTAATTTAACTCATGTTGACTTATCCCCCTATTTGACGCTCAACGAATTTAACTTTTAATTTCTATTCTTTTTACATATTGATTATATCAGTGACTATATAGTCCTTTATCAATAAATACATTTCTGATAAAAACTGTCTACTTTTTTTCCTTCATAAAATCAATAATTTGTTATCAGTTGACAAAAGATTGATAACCACTGAAGGGACTGAGATAATTGAGCCCAAAATGCATGGTGGGCTTCTATTAGAGCTTTTAGAAATTAAGTAATAGAAAATTGCCAAAGGAAATGAGACATCAAAAGTTTGGGGGACAGTTTGGGGGACAAAATCTTGCCGAAGATCCAAGTCCTTGCCGGCGCGGGTCGGCTGATAACTCGCTTCAAAATTGGAACCTTGAGCAAAAGAACATACCAAATGTTAGAATTCGGCGAGCTCTACAACTTCCAATAAAAATGAGTCGGCTTCAAAAACGGTATCATGATCCGGGCCGGTATTTTATAACCAGGCCGGCGGTTATGGCCCGGTCCGGCTTTTTCGCCCGGCTCTGACTATACTACTCTTCTCGAAGCAGATATGTTCTTTTGCTCACATTTCCAATTTTGAAGCTAGTTATCAGCCGGTTAAATCGTAGTGAATTTTTAACATTTAATCAAGAAAAAAGAAACAACAGAGAAAGACAAATTTTCAAATTTTTACTGGAAAATAAGTTAACCAATACGACTCGGCTTAACTTTGACTGTCGAAATTGATTTCACATTTGATGCCTTATTATTTTTGTCAATTCGTTTCAATGCACAAATCACCAGATAGCCTTCCAAAGCATATCCACTCATCTTACTCAACATTATAACTGGTCCAATGTCTTCAAACTTTCCAGTATAGATTTTAGTCATCAGTGCAGCTGGAAAGACATCAAAGACTATAATTATAAATGCGTCAATCAAAACCAGACGGTTAGCCTGAAAGATGTTTTATGGATAGGTACAGTAACCTTCTGATGATACCCTTGTCAAGAATTCGCTCGAGCTAGCTGGTAATCGATTCCAAACCAGCAGCTTTATGGCTAGAACCAATGATAGAAGAACAATTATTGCATGACTGATAAGTTCAGATTTAAGGAAGAAGTCAATAAAACATTGATTCATGAAACACCACATATTGATACATCCAGGTGGTACATATACCACAAACTCGCACACCACCCATAGTATATAGTTTTCCATACAAATATATCCCATCAAAAGGAGAACTATAATTAGCAGAGAAAAATTGCGACGTTTATTATGGTAAAGTAGTGGCAAGAATATAGCGATAGTTCTGTCTAATGTTATAATGACAACTAGAACACTTCGAATACTTAATAAGATTGCAGATGGCCAGTTGATGTAGAATACAATCACAGGATAGGTATCGAAAATCGTTTCAATGTTGGAAAGTCGAAAGGAGAAGAAAACAACAATTACGAGACCTGAAATCTGAGGGAATATAATTTGAAAAGGCTTACAACACACCATCAGCACTCATCAAACCATCAATAAAAAATCGAAGATAGAAAAAAGTCAAGCTATTTGATTTCTTCAACTTTTTCGATCTGAAAAAAAAACTGATAAAGGCTCAACGTCGTAAACTCACATGAAAATTTGATACAGTAATCCGAAGTTGATTGCTAATGTTATTATAGCAGAAAAAGTGGCAAACACAGAGATCACAATGGCAATGATTCCCATTTTTAGGAAAAAACACTGAAAAATTTCTAAATTTTTGAACAACTTCGGTTTCTGTTTTTCTTTCTTGGAAAATTGGTTAGGAACAAAAACACGATGTAGGAAAAAAAATCGAAATTCTCAAAACAACAAGTTTCGTATTTTTGTTACATGTTCTGTTCTGATGGTTGGTAATGTTTCTTCTTTAAATATTACTCATATGAGTTTCAAAGTACATATTTTTGTTATGAAAAGTTGTATAATTAAATAATAACATATTTTTTAAAAATATTGCTGCAAAAAAACCCCACTCAAGGAGTTGAACTTGTGGGTCCAACGTTAGAGGTGCCACTTTTTTTACCAGCTTAGCTACGGAAGCGGGAGTTCTACCACTGTCCGATGTCACACATGATCGGAAGTCAGAAGTCGGAAGTATGGGAAATTGTTAATTGGAAGCTAAAAACCGAAAATCGGAACTGACCGCATTTGAGATTGGTTGGGAAGAAACCGAATTTCAGATTTTGGTTGGTTCTCTGAAATTTTGGGCTGGTTCCAAGAATAGTTAATTGCAATTTCAAGAAAAACAACCGGAAAACGGAAGATTTATTGTTTCACTCTGTTCATCCTCAATAAACATTCATTTCCATGTTCAACAAAAAACTACAATTTCAGATTTTCAGAAAAAAACAAGATTATTTACAAAAATCTACTGCCAAGCATGATTATTAATGTGACGGTGATGACGATGATTAGATGAAGCTTGACCAGTTGATTTTATCATTGACGAGTTGTTCGCATACGACACTGATACGATATCATTAGTCCGTTTGAGTGCGCGGCGTACTAGCCAACTTTCCAGTGCGTACCCACTCATTTTACAGACCAAAATTAATGAACCAAATTGTGCGGAAAGAGCTGGAAACTTGACAGTAAAACCAGCAGGTACAATGTCAAAAATAATGATGATTAGAGTGTCGATTAGTGCGAGATAATTGGCCTGACAGAGAAAAATTGAGTTAAACGTTTTTTTTTTTTTGAAAAACTCACTCTTTCCAGATCTCGACTTTTTGGCCCTTTTTGTGTGCAATGATTCCAAATGAATAGCTTAACGGCAAGTATGAGAGATGTTAAGGCAATGATTGCGTGGGATACCTGAAGTAAGATGGGACCATGTATTTGCAGAGAGCGTTCTATTTTTAGATTTTTTTTTTGAAAATTTCATTAACATTTCAAGTACACTCTTGGTTAAAGGAAGGAAGAAATGAAAAATATGTATAGTTCTTAAATTGAAAAAAAGAGCCCCGCGAGGAATTGGACTTGCGGACCCAACGCTGGTGTTACCAGCTGAGCTACGGTGGCGCAAGTGACAAATTATTCCAATTGTGTAGGGGTCCTTCTAATAAAGGTTTTAGGATAATCCAACTCACCACTTCAAAACTCAATGCATAACTTATATAACATTGGTTCATTTGACATGTGAAAATCACACATCCTGGGGGAATATTGACTCGAAACTGACAAACACCCCATAAAACAATATTATTGACAATCGGCCAACTTAATGGAATAATTGCCAGATAAAAGTTTCGAATTCGTCTCCGAAAATTATGGTAGCTAATTGGCATGAAAACTGCTAACGTCCTATCAAGGGAAATTACAATGACCAGAATCCCTCGTACATTGAAACAATTCATAGAAGTCCAAGAAATCCAAAACAAAAATTCGACAGGTTCATCGTACTCGACTTCCAAGAATTTCAGTAGAATGAAAGTGGACATAATTGCGTCTGAAACTACAGTAAACGTTTTGAATCACTCTTTGAAACTTACTTTGTAATCCTAAAAAACCATCAATGACAAATCTGAGGTAAAAAAGTGTCAAACTTTTTGATTTATTCAGAGATTTTCGAATAAATATGCTATGGATAAGATTGAAGTTAATTCCAACTGTGAGTACAGCAAAGATAATAGATAAAGCAGCAACAACGGCTGGGAGAACAAGCATAACGACAGAAATGAAATATGAAGAGTCGGGTGTGAGCAAATGGGAGTTTTAATTAGAAACACAAACTTTACAAGCGTGGCAAATTTCGAACCGAAGGTTCACAGGTTGAGTCACTCATCAAGAACACTGAGAAACATAAACGTGTAGGCTAAGCTTTATGCTTTGAAACGAAGCTGGAGTCATCGGACCGGAAATAGAAACAAAACTAAACTGTGTTGTCAGATATCACATTTGTGAAGTCACGTATGACGATCAAAAGATTGCTTTTTTGGTAAAAAATCCGGAAGGTACTACAGTTTTAGGCTACAAAATCACCAATTTAGGGGGGGGGGGTACAAAACGATTAAAAATGAGAGGCGTGGGGCATGAAAAATATATTTCTCGAAATTTCGTTTAATAAGCCCGTCGAGGATTTGAACTTGTGGTTGCACCATTGAAGGTGCCGCGTTGAGCTATGGTGACGCAAGCTGACCGATGTCATATACTAAAGCGGTACGATAGCCTGTGGTAACACCAATCACTGTACACCGTCCGAATAAATACTATCGTCTCGAAAAAAACCTCGAAAAGTTGCCTTCTTAAACTCATGACTTCATGAAAAAGATAAAAATTTATTCAAACATTGTTTAACTCACAAAATAGTTCAGATACTATGATGAAGTTCTTGATGCTACCTTAAACACATTATTTGATTGAGATGTAACTGCATTTTCTCTTCAACGTAAGGTAAGTCAGAAATCCCCTCCACAGCGAAACCACTAGATTTTCCCAATGGCAACACTAATCCGACGTCATAAAAAACGTTGGGGAAGAAGGTTACAAGAGAAATTGGGACAAGATCGAAACAAAATATCATTGCAGCGTACAGAAGGGCAAGACGATTGGCCTGAAATGCTCATTTTTCGAAAAAGTGAGCTACCATAATTAGTCGGCTCTTTTCTAGATTAGAGGCCCATAAAAAATTTTGAGATCCCAAAAAGTTTAGCGGTCCCAAGAAAAAATAGAGGTCCGATATTTGAAAAACGCGCAGGTATTAGAATAATGTGCCAGAATTTGAAGTTTCGAGTTTTGAGGCTCTCTAGGATGATAAGAGTGGAAATGTGACTTCACCTGATAGTTTTGGCTCTATTTCTTTCTTGTCATTCTTATGGGCCCCAATTTACATATAACCAAAATGTCGGCAAATAGTAATGCCATCGTGAATAAGCTTTCTCTCACTAACTCTAGGTACATGTATGAAAAATAAAACGGTTTGATTTGGATCTACGGAAATTCTGAGCGAAATGATAATAGTGCTCGACTTTCCAATAAGAGCTGAAAATATTTGAAAGCATTAGTCTCAATGACCTGGAAACTGACTGGCGATTCCATATAAACCATCAGTAAAAAATCGAAAATAAAATAATGACAAAGTGGAGGACTTTGGTATTTTTTGGATCTGAAATTTTGGATTGGATTTTGAATCAAAAATTTTTCAAATCATCTCACATGAAAATTAAATACAACATTCCGAAATCAATAGCGATGTTAACTGCAGAAAATGTAACTGTGATGGATGGCATTATAGCACTCATCAGTCTTTGTTCAAGTAGTTTTTTTTTCAAGTTATGATCAGAAAAAAAAGAAAATGAGTTTTGTTATAGAACTTCTTTGAAGTGGCGAGTAGACACAAAACGGTAAACAAGAAGACTAATTAATTTAGGCTTCTATGAAAAATGAGCAAAATCAAATTGGTTTGTCATACTGGAAATGGGTGTGAGAAGAAAAAAAGGGGCGTGGTGTTTTGTACATGGGGCTCAACCTTTCATTTTTGGGTTAAAAACTGTAGAGGGTTTAAATGTGATAGGTTGGTCTTTGTGATTAATTATTGGCTATCAAAATTTTCGTTTTCAGTAACCTGAAAAAAAGTAAAAGGTGATTTTTGGTTGGTCAATACTGAAATGATACCGATATGCTGTTTTTGGGAGAACGGAGAACAAAAAAGTCATTACCAAGAACTAGTGAACATATGGCAGAAAAAAATCAGCAGTTCTGAGAATTAAAAAAGTAACTATGATTTATATATACCGTAAAACCTATAATAGAAGAGCCTCTCACACTGCTAACTGTGAGCTCAATTATCTCGATTCCTTTGCAAGATTTCAATAATGTGTCAACTGATAAAATATTTTTGAGATTATAATAAACAATTTATCAAGTGGCAACTTTTTGATATCTTTCAAAAGAAATTAGATATATAAACTCAAAGTGGACGGTCCGGGTGGCGTTCTGTTAGAGTGTTTACGGTATATCTTCGATGAGTTCTTCTAATAAAGGTAAACTAAAACATCAGATAGATAATCAAACTCTGGAGTTAAGCTAGCAAACGGAGCGGGTAAGGCTCTGCAAAGGTTTCTGTCTGATCTTATGAATTTTTAAAAATGCACTGATCAACATTTCTGTAGAGCTCTCTGAAACATCGAGTTAAAAAAAAAGGATTATGCATTTGGGCGTCTGCTAACAGAAATCAAAATGCATTGCCTGTTAAGAAAAAAGTGTCTCTGTGTTGATAAAAAAGCAGGAAGTTTCTTATTTTTATAGAAAAAAGGATAAAAAGCAAAGATCAAACTGAATCAGAAAACGAAGTTAAATCTGTAATAGAAGGGCCCTCACACTGTCCAGTTTGAGTTCAATTATCTTCTCTCCTAGAAGACATATCAAAAACCTGTAAATTCATAAAATATTATGATAAACATTTATTAATTAACAAATTTTTGATATCTTTGACAGGAACCGAGATTAATTGGCTCAAAGTTGAGCGTTAAAGAGACCCTTTTATTACAGGTTTCACGGTAATGATAATTCATTGAATATGAAACTGATCAGATAAAATTACAGGAAAACTTGGGTTTCAAAAAATTATATTCATTTACTACTTTTCACGAGGAACATTGAAGCACCATTAGCAGGAATGATCTTATTTTTCCGGTTCAATGTTCGGTATATTAATAAGCTTTCTATAGCTAATCCTCCATGTTTACTTATTCCTAACACGCTTCCCATATCGTCAATTAAATACTGAAACTTTACGAGGACAATTGCCGGAATAAGGCCGAATATTAACAGAACCGCAGTATCAATCAGAGCGAGTTGATTAGCCTGAAGTTGGTGATATTAGCTGAGGTCCGTTTACCGTACAACTTGTATCAGAAGAATTGTCCCTACAGGTTGGACGGTATTGAAATTGCTTACCCTCTCAAGTTGTCCACTTATCGACCCATTTTTGCAATTATTCCAGATTAAAAGTTTGATAGAAAACAGGAGAGAAGCAAAAGTGATAACAGATTCGGTAGATGTTTCAAGAATAATAAAATAGTGGAGAAAACATTGATTCAACATGCATCCAGAGTTCGTGCAACCATTTGGAATCATCACACGATAATCACAAACAACAAACAACATGATGTTGTCAATTAAGGGCCAACAAAAAACTAAGAATATCAACAAAACATTCGGAATTCTTTGGCGACATTTATGATACGAAATTGGCAAGAATACTGCCAAAGTTCGGTCAAAAGTTATGACAATTGATAAAAACAATCGCACATTTCCAATAATTACCACTGAGAAATTCATTAAAAAATAAAGTGTCGATAGAATTTGAATAGGATAATTGATAGAAATGTCATTGTAAACATTTATAGAATATGTTAAACTAGCTGAAAATTTTTTTAAGCTTTAAGAAATAGGGTTTCCATTTGGGCGGGTGAAGAAGCGGGCTACCCGCTACCCACCCGGGCAGCTCCCACCCGCGGCCCCCCGCGCCCCCCCCCCCCGCGATTAAGTGCGTGTGAATTTTAATACAACTTTTGAGGATATTCACGTATTTTCCAAGAAAAACTGAGTTTCTCAAATCAAAAAATTGCGAAAAATATAATATTTTCCGCACGTAAATATTTGCGGGGGGTCAACGGGGCGCCGCGGGGGGTGCGCCCCTTCGGGTGGTTGTGGGCGGGTGAATCGCTCCCCAAATGGAAACCCTATTAAGAAATCTAATGTTAGCTTACTTGTCAAAGTTACCCAGAAATCGATAAAAATTCTAGTGTAAAATAAAGCTAAATGTGGCGATTGCTTCATGGTTTTAGATCTTCAAAACTTTAAAAAATCAAGAAAAACTATCGAAAAACTCACATGAAAAGATTATATAAAAGTTTGAAGTTCATGATGACAGTTAGGAAAGATAGACAAATAGGAAGAAAAGTTGAAAAAATTTCCGATGAATTCATTTAGATTTTCTTCTCGGGAATTCGTGTTGAGCTTTGTTATTGGAAGTGAGTTCTTGTTTTTAATTTTCCCAGGAAAGAAAATTCGTAATTTGAAAATCGAAATTCGAAAACAACTTTGACCGAATTCCACTCGCTTTCAGTATAAGGTACTAAAAAAATGGTCAACTTACAAAACTTTTATCAAATATCAAAAATATTTTGGCTCAGGAAACGAGAGAAGATCGGTCAAACTTAACAGTCACTTTAAAATCTGTGATAGAAGGGCCCCCACACTGTTAAGTTTGAGCCAATTTATCTCAATTCCTACATGAGATATCAAAGCTGTGTCAACTAACAAAACACTACTAATGTTATCTTCCTTATATATAAAACACCACACGCGTCTGTCTGTCCTGATGTCAGGCTGACCGCTTTTGAAATGTTTGAAAATTAAATATATATCTACGTGACCCTTTAAGGAAAATGAAGAGACGCACCAGTAAAAAACTAGGATAAATCGCGCCAAAGGCCCACCAACTTGTGATAAATAATCTAACAGTTGACAACTTTTCATTACCTTTGGCCGGAACCGAGAAAAATTGGGTAAAGTTATATAGTCCTTCTATTACAGGTTTTGCAGTGTCTCGGTTTTATATTTTTGGAATTTTTTTGCAAAATAGTGGCTTGTCTATTTACAAAGTTATAGACGAAACGAGCCGAAAAAACAGACAGGTATCGGGCTCACCCCGATTGGCAGCTTTGTGGCTTGTAACTTTGTCCACAGACAATTTTCTTTAACAAGGGAACCATGTTTAGCCTTCATCTCAGAATTTTTTCTAAATTTGTTCATTTATAGTTTCAAATACGGGCTTTCTCGTAGTGTATTCGGTTTTCTGCACAAATTTCTAGAAATCGAGTTATGTGCTGTTTAAGTGATTTCGGAGCTAATTTCTCACTTTTGGAGTGAGTTTTTGAAAGGGATAATGAGAGTTTTTCGGCATTGTTTGAGTGTCAATCGTAATTTTAAAGGTTTCTCTACAATCTGACAAAGTTTCCTCATTTTTCAAAAAAAATTTGAAAAAATTTTTCCATGGCGAAATTTTTGCGAAATTTTCAATTTTTCGAAAATTTTTTAAATGTGTTAAAATGAATCATAAACGCATAAAAATGATAAAATGAGTCTTTCCACAAGATTCTGTAGCCTATAGCCGTTTTGAAATCCCAAATAAGTGATTTCTTCCAAAACTCCAATGGACCGTAGTCCTTCGAAAATCACCCAGTAGCACTCAAATCTTGTGAAAACATAGATTATATACTTCTTGACTGACTTATAACAGTTTCGCAACCAATATGATCAAATCGGGGGATTTCGACTGACATTTTGAGTAGATAAGGCTTTTCAGCAGTGCTTCAAGAATTTTTCAGAAATTATCTTTTTCGAGCTTTTTTCCTACTGAAATAATAGAGCAAACATAGATTTTCGAAAAGTTCAAAGCATTCCTCCAACATAAAAGAAAAAAAAAGAAAAAAGAAAATGGACAGTGACGGAATCGAACTTGTGATTACTATTCATCCCCATTATCCACTCGGCCACGGTTGCTCGTTTTTTCCACAGTGGAGAATGTATAGAGGAAAGGGGGGAAAGTGGAAGGGAAGGAGGAGACCAAAAAAACAGTATATTTTCAGATGGACTTTTCTCGACTTCTAGAAATTTGTGCAGAAAACCGAATACACCACGAGAAAGCCCGTATTTGAAACTATAAATGAGCAAATTTAGAAAAAATTCTGAGATGAAGGCTAAACATGATTCCCTTGTAAGGTACAGTTTTTCAAATGATATCATTTTGTAGTACTTGTTGGGCTCTATCATATCAAGCAGTTTTCCAAGTATAGAAAATGTTCATTTTCAATTCTTCAACCAAAACTTATTATGTATTTAAACCTTCACTCTAGCTACCAACACGCTTCCATTTGATTGATTCGATTGAGTTTTATACAATGTTCGATGGGCCAGATATCCTTCAAACACATAACCGCAAACTTTTCCCAAAATAAATACATTCCCACAGACATCCACATCTATTGTAATAAAACTTGTTGAAAGCGTAGCAGGGATGACGGAGAAAATTATAATGGCACTGGTGTCAATTAAGGCAAGTCTATTAGCCTGAAAATCGTTTCGTGTTAATATTTTTGCAAAATTTTGCAAACTTGCTCACTTTTCGGAGATATTCTTTGCTTTTGTCATATCTGTAGAGAATGAAAAGTTTAATTCCAAGAGCTGTAGTTGCTGTTGCGATTATTATATGTGTTATCATTTCAAACCGTATTCCATAACTGATATAACACGGATTCATGCTGTCTGTCCAATAAAACGTGGGCGCGCCGCAGCCGGAAAAGGGGGCGTTCCTGATACGCCCCTTTTTGCAACAGTGGCTCACCCTTTTCGGGGATATTTTTCCCGGAATTTTAGTTGTCATTTTTCACACTTTTTCTCATTGAAATTAAATAAAATTGAGTTTTTAATGTAAAGTCATCCAGAAAACATGAGTAGCACACAACAACGAACTTTCCCCCTCAACCGGCAACCCCAGGAAGCTATCGCCGTCGAGGTATGAAGGCACTGAAGCAATTCTGGATAAAATTGATATTTTCTGAATGATTTTACATTAAAATCTCAATTTTATTCAATTTCAATGAGAAAAAGTGCGAAAAAATACATCTGAAAATTCCGAGAAAAATATCCCCGAAAAAGTGTGCGCGCGCGTTGCATAAAGGGGCGTGTCGCGTAAGCCCCGCCCCTTGCCCAGATTTTTTTGTACAGACAGTAACACATGCCAAAAGTACACATCCTGGTGGAACTCGATACTCATATTCACATGGTCCCAGGAGCACAGAATTATCTATCAATAGATAACAAAATGGTAAAAGTAAGAGTATATTGTTTGAGCATTTGGACCGTAAATTGTGATACCGGATTGGAAAAAATACTGCGAAAATTCTGACCAAGTTAATTGTTTTTAAGGGGCCAGTTGAAAACGAAAACTAGATATTCACGAGAAATCAAAATGTCTTCAAAATCGAAAGCTTAATAAACACAAGACTCATCATGAAAACATCTGAAAGTTTTAAATTGGAAAAGTGGAGATGCATTTTTGAAAAACAACTTCCTAATCCCAAAAACCCATCCATCGCAAATCGAACATAGACAAGAGTTAAACTTGAAGATTTTTTAAACACTTTAGATCTGAAAACTCGAAACTTAGCGGGTCAAATTTTTAATCTGTGCCTACACAAAAATTTTATAGAGAAACCCAAAATTAATGATAGCCGTTGCACAGGCGAGTATCACAGTGAGTGAATTCACAATAACAAGAATGATGTAAGGGCTGATTGACATTTTCAAGGAAACACCGGGAACTAGATCAGACTGAAATTTCTGAACACAAAATTAAAACAAAAAGATTTAACTTCTGCTCGCCTTAAAGGGGGACTCCGACCAAAAATTTTTATTGCATTAAAATGTTTCAAAAATATGTATTTTCCTAATATTATTGCGAAAAAATTCAAAAGAAATCCTGAATCCCCGAAAAACGGCGTTGAAAAAAACAGAATTTGAATTCCCGCGCAGTAAGAAACCTAGGCCACGGCATTATAGCACCTTTCTGACATGGAAAATTTTCCGGATTTTTTCGATTTTCATGTCCGGCAGGTAAAAAACGTTAAAAAAACACTGTCGGCCACTTGAAAAAACGGCTGTCAGGCGCCGTGGCCTAGGTTTCTCACTGCGCGGGAATTCAAATCCTCGTCCCTCCTAGCAACTTTCTTTTGAAAAATTTTCGCTTTTAACGGCATTTTTCGGGGATTTCGGATTTTTTTCGAATTGTTCGCTATAATGTTAGGAAAATAGACAACTTTTCGAACATTTTGATGCAATAAAAATTTTTGGTCGGAGTCCCCCTTTGAATATCACACCGAACGTCAACGAATAATGTTTTTGATTCAGAGAACGTTTCTAATTTGGTTTTTTTGGTATCAATTTAGATAGAAAAGAAAGTATTCCAACTAAAGGCTTTCTTTGAAGATTTCGAAGTTTTTTAGTATTTTTTTAGGTTTTTGAAGCAGTGAGACACTCGCCAAAAACAAACCTTCAACTTGTTAGATCACAAAAAAACTTCATAGTAACAATTTCTCGAGGCATTTCGGTGAGGTCTTGTGCTTTACTAACTCCATGAGTTTTTATTCCATAGATTTCAAAGAGGGGGGACTATTGTAGATCAAGATCTCAAAAAGCTCCTGCAGTTGGGTATTTTATAACTGATCTACAGTTCCTTATTTCGAACATTTTGATCAAATGGGAGAAGTTGGGAAGGTACTATGGCTATCGGACACCTTGTGAACAGAATTATGGCTCTTAAGCCAATCCTTCCCAGTTTGTGTTCTAACAGTAAGTAGATTGGGAAGCCGTTTTTCGAATTTCCAAATGTTAACGGCCAAACTTAAACTTTCTACATTTTTCCTATTAAACCCCTTCACATCGCCATGATTTATGACAAGTGCTAAATCTATGCGGTCTTTGTTGTTCTCTCCAAACATGACTTACTTTCCCAGGAGGCTCACATTTACAGTCAACTATAATAGAATAGTCAACTATAATAGGATATTATTTTACTTTTCCTTTTCTCATTTCACCGTAGTTGCTCTGTTAGATAGTCACCCTTTACTTGCCGTTTTAAGTCCACTTATCTCAATTTCTATATGAGATATAAAAATGTTTCAAATGATAAAATGTCGGCAATATTAAGTCAAACAATTTATCAATTAATAGATTTTGTTATTTCTCATGGGAATTAAGATAATTGATCTCAAAGTGCAAGTATAGGATGACCTTCTATTAGAGTGTTTACGGTAATCGAAAACTTTCCTCACTTTTAAAATTTGTCAGAAAACTTTTTCTTAACATTAGTTTATTCAATCGAGTTCCTATTATTGTCAACCTTTCACAGAAGTTTTTCATTTTTCGAATATTTCCTGCCTCACCAACCCGAAATCTCTATTTGTGTCTTATGTTAGCCAGTTGTTGAACGTTTTTTTTTAAATGTAAACTTGAATTTTTGAAAAACTTGATAAAAACCAATTCCTAATACTTCTACTCGACCTTTCCCGTCTTCACATAGGTTGTAAATTTGCACATTTATTGACTTGATTCTTCTCTACCTGTCCCATAAAAATTTTTCCCATAAGGAAAATAACACGATCAGAACCATGGAACTCCTTCACCTTCAGGTCACGCCCACCTAGTTCTTATTCTCAGTCCACAAATGGTCCTCTCGGTCCTCATTCTTATTTCTTTTCTTCCTCCAATCCTAACTGACCATATTCCTTCCTTTTATATTGACTTTTTTCTACTACGAAACTCTCTCATTCTTTCTATTTTCAGATTTCCATACATCTTTCACTTAAATCACCATGGCTATGATTCCTGCTCGCGAGTTGTTCGTCATGTCACCAAACGTTCTCAGAAACCTCGTCCTAAAATCGATCGATCCAAAACTGGTTCCATTAGAATGGGAATGCGTCGAGAAGGATCCCATCAAGAACCTTCAAAATCTTCTCAATATCTCCAGCCCATTAATGGACCGATTTCAAACTGCCGAGCAGTTTTTTGCATTTATAGCCTCTGTAGTTGGTTTCCCTGGAAGTCACACCTTCTTCGGTATTCCAAAAACTGAAGTCTACTGTCAAAGAAGTGCAATCTACTCGAGTCTATCAAAGAGAGAGTATGTCTACAAAACCGATTTCTACTATTTGCTCCAAGGCTGCATTCAAGCGTGTCCAATGCGAAGACTGGAATCAGAACTTGCCGTTTCTCTCATCGCTTACTTCCTGAAATTCAAAGAATCAAAAGTGAAGATTTTCGAAATGGCTCAGTTGGTTCCTGGAATGTATTGCAATCTTCAACATGCCGTGGCAGCCTTCAACAAATCATTCCCAACTGCAACATTGGTTAAAGATGATAGGTTTCAAGGAATGTCGATTGAAGGTGCTGCTGATGTATTTTCAACTGTTTTGGGAACAAACGGGGAGGATGGAGGCGATATTCTGAATTTGCTGAAGACGTTCGACACGAAGATTCCAATCAAGCGCAAGCCACGTGCCTACATGCCAGTTCTGGTCTGGGTCATGTGGATTACCGACACTTTCAGGAAGTTCATCGAGAGCAACTCTAAAATGATGACGTCGAAATCAGATCCTGTAGAGAAAACGAACGACTCCAAAGTCATTGTCAGGCTGTTCCATTCTGAGAAACATAAATTTGTTTTTGCACATGAGCTGCTACACGAAATCAAGATGGAAGGATTCGAAGTGTCGGAATTCGAAGATGAGCTCCAAAAAGAGTCAACCGATGTTGCTATCTCGCTCCGTGAAATTTTCGAAATTGTTCCAAAAGAAATACTGAAGCATATTGAATTCGTCAATCTTGATCTATTCTACATCTCCACACCTATTCCATTGTTCAATGGAAAATACTGGGCATGCCCTCCAAGTGGTCAACAACAAGTATATGTCAAGGAAGAGCAAATCAATAAGGATATCCAGGAAGACGAGACTAATGAGCAACCAGGTACGTTTTCTTTTAATTTGATTGAATTTCTTACGATGTATTATTTTTTCAGAAATTGAGAATCAAGATGAGAATGTTTCAAAACCAACCAAATTGGACAACCCAAAGAGAGTAAAAATTAGCAAGAAGAAGAAGAAGAAGAAGGTCGCCATGATTTCTCAAACTCCAAAACCAACGTCAAATGAATCAGAAGCGTGTCCAAAATGCTACCGTGCCAGTTTGTATACCCGAAAAGCCAATGAGAAGCTGAAATTGGATAAAATTGAAACTAAAGCACTGAAGAAGAAGGTGACGCAGATGGAGAAGGCAGAAGAGCAGAAGAATCAAGAAGTTTTGGAAAAAGATGCTCGAATTCGTGCGCTGGAAAAGATAGTGGAGTCACAGAAGAAAGAATTGGCTGCGAAGGAAGAAGAAAGTCGAATTAAAATTCAAAACCTCGAAAAGCAACTGGAGGAGAAGGATGAGATTATCGAGACCCTGGAATCAAAGCAGTCTAAAGCCAATGACAAAAACGAGTTAGTTCGAGATGTCCTCTTCAATCTTCTGGAAGTCCGAGCTACTATCAATGCTGAAAATCCAATTTCAAAAGTCACCGAACTCGTCAACCAACTGATGATGAAGACAGAATGCGAAGAAGTGAAAAATAATGCACAGATTGAGCTTGCCGAATACCAACACGAGTGTAATACATTCATCACAACAGTTGACACCAATCTAGAATTGGTCCGTGAAAATCATAATATCGATCTTGTTCATCTTCCGAAGCTACCATTGTTTCCAGTCCTATCGGAAGGTTTCCGAAAAGATTACAAGAATGCAATGAAGTCAGACGTCCCAAACATCTGCCAATCTTTGTTGACTTCTCCCGAAACTTCCACAGAAACCGATCCAAACGAACTGATGGACACGGAGTGCTTGATTTGTTTGGACGATATGGAATCAGAAGAAAACACCATGAAATGCGACTGCTGTAAACGACGCTACCACGACGGATGCATCAAAAATTGGTTTGAAACAAAGCGCAGCTGTCCTACTTGCAACTCTGGACTTCTTGATGATGACGAGTTTCCAACATTGTCTTAATTTCCTTTTTTCTTGTATTTGTTAAATTTTTTCTTGGTTTTTAATAAATATAACATTCAAATTCAATTGTTTTTTGATAAAAAATCAAAGCTTACAATCAGAAACATTAGAATTATAAATCACAATATGTGATTGTTAGAATTATAAATCACAATCACCGTTCTGAGAATTAGAGAAGACATTGAATGATAGAATTTCCAGTTAAACTTCAGTTCTGAAAATTGAAAACATGTTGTGTCTACTCTGAATTAATAGCCTTTTTTTCTTTTGGTGTGAACAAAGTTCTCTCTAAAAAGAAAATCCAGATAGACATTTTAAAAACGCCCCTTCCAATTTATTTTCCAATACAAAAACCATATTCGTGAATAGAACGAAATCTGGTAAACCTCCTGAAAACGATGATAAATGAAATTTATCTCTCTATTAGAAGTTTGGCCTTGATTGTCACATTTTGTTCTGCGTTTGTAAACTTTCGGTTACTGTATTGCCTTTTCGGTAAGTATTTTCTACATCTCCAAATTTCATACATATAAAGCTATGTTTCAGTTCAAAAACGCTCAAAAAATTAGATGGATTTACACTTTTCTACGTTAGATTTAGTATGGGTTGCTTGATCGCCACTTTTAGTGAGTTTTTGTGACATGAGTAGTGATATGGTCTCTGAAAATCATCCACCTGACCATATGAGATGAACAATCAGGAACTCAAGCTACAAGATTAAACCATTTTCAGATCTATTCAGTTTATCATTCAGTTCGGTCCAAGGGTTCGATAGTACAACTAATCTCAGTACTCTTCAAACTATCGTATTTTACGTATCGTGGTCGAATAATATTCTAATGAATGCTCGTACTGTTCTATCAATCATCATAACAATCGGTCGAATCGTTGCAGTAGGCTTGCCAATTTTTTACCACAATCATCGCGGGAGACTATCTAATTTGTTATTAATTGGCCTAATTATCTTCTTTGAACTTGCAATGTTTGGATTAATGTTTGGGACCTGCTCTAATTCATACGATTATTTTTCTAATTCACCCGCCGGACTGTTTGAGAATGAGATGCCTTCTGAACCCATGTCACAAGAGCTATCTTCTGAAACTCGATATCGTCTTTAATTCCATAATATTCATTTCTTCCCTAGTTCTTACAGCTATGGTTTTTCTCTGGAACAATTTTAAAAAATCAACTAAAAGCAAGAGTTTTGAAAGAGTAAGTCCATAAAGAAGAATCCTTTAAAACTGCATTTTTATTCAGGCTATCTTCCTCACAATTTTAGATGCTTTCATTTATAGTTTCAATGTTACACCAGCTGTTTTGATAGTTTCATGGGCAACGATGGCTCAATGCGGGATTCAGGTTGTTCAAGATGAGTGGAAACGCATTGGAAGCGTTTTTGGATTAAAAAAAACTAATGTTCATGTCCTTTTCAATCTGAACATTGGTCTATTTTTCTACAACATTGGGAGTTCTATGGGTACGACCTGAAATTCGAATTGTTTCTTTAGTGCTAATAATGTGATTTGATGTGATTAATCTATACTATATTCAAAGTAAAATCTACGATATCGTCCAATCTGAAAAAATGCAGTTCTGAGAAAGAAAATTAGAAATATGTTGTGTCTGATCTGAATTAATCAACTCACATTGTTTTTTTCTCGTGTGAATACGTTTGTTCTGAGAAGGTACCCCCATTCTTTTAAAAGACGCCCCTTCAAAGTTTTTGGTCCAAGATAAAAGCAAACATCTTGTACCAAAAAACTGGATAATGAACGAAATTTACCTCCTTATTTTAAGCTTGACCTTCGTTTTCGCGGTATTCTCGACAGTTTTAAACTTTCAGTTACTGTATTGCACTTTTCTGTAAGTTTTTCGAGATCTCGGTTATTTCATTCATATAACATTTCATATACCGTTTCAGTTCGAAAACAATCAAAAAATTCTCAGGACTTACACTTTTCTACATTAGATTTGGTATGATAGCCTGGTCGCCACTTTTAGTGAGTTTTTAGGAAAGGTCCCTATTATGGTTTTCATTTGGGCCGGTGGAAAAAAGAGCCGCCCGTGGTGCTCCCAAATGCGTAACTTAATTCACAAATCGCAATTATTTTCAGACCTATTTAGCTTATCACTCAGCTCGGTTCATGGGTTCGATATTACCAGTAATATCAGTTATCTTCAAACAATTATATTTTACGTTTCGTGGCCGAACAACTTTCTAATTAGCGCTCGCACTGTTCTGTCGATCATCATAACAATTTATCGAATCTTTGCAGTAGGCTGGCCAATTTATTACCGCAATTATCGAGAAAGACCTCCAAATTTTTTTCTAATTGGTTCAATTACCTTTTTTGAAATGTTCACGTTTGGATTAATGTTTGGGACTTGCACCAATTCATACGATTTTCCACCGGACTGTGTGCGAATGGTATGCCTGCTGAACCCGTGTCACAGGAATTATCTTTTGAAATTCGATATCATCTCTAATTCGATGATATTCATTGCGTCCCTAACTCTTACAACTATGATTTTTGTCTTCAACAATTTCAAAAAATCTACCACAAGCAAGAGTTTTGATAAGAGCAATACATCGGAAACTCCCCTTTTCCAGGCTAACTACCTCACTCTATTAGATGCCTTCATTTATATTGTTTTCAATGTTATGCCATCTGTTATGGAAGCGTTTATAAGTTGAATACCTACAGATTCATTGTGTTGTTTTTACCTTTCAGCGGAAACTCTGCGATATCGTCCAATCTGAAAAACGTCCATTCTGATAAAACCAAAATTGAGTGTATGTTGTTTTCTGTTCTAAAATTAATAAAATAACCATGTTCTGTTTTTCTTTTCATGTGAAAAATTTCGTTCTAAGAAGATGCCTAGAGTTTTTAAGGACGCCCCCATTCAAATTTTTTGTTATTTTTTGAAAGGCTTATTCGAACAAAATTTCGAGAAAATTATTTTATCATGACATTACGGTCAGTTTGATTGAGTATTCGTTCACGAATTTTTACAGTATGGAATATTATCTGTAGCACCCAAAAATATTTATATTCACAAAAACTGATTCAAGCATGAACACCAATGAAAAGTGGACTGTTCTCGAACAATAACGCAAATAGGAATGGGTGATCTGCTAGGAATGTTGTCGGCTCTGCCATGATCATCATCTCCAACCCGACTTTGAAAGCCGATGCGGCAGCTGCGGTAGTTCCATCCTCGTCAACTTCAATGATGGCTTTATGAATTCCGGATGAGATGAATGCTTTATCTCCCAATCCCTTAAGATCAGCACTGCCTTCTTGGAACATTTCCTTGATTCCGACAGCCTCTAAAGTTTCCTTCAGATCCAACTCTTTTTCAATTTTGAATTTTGGAATGTGAACATTGACATAGGAATTTTTGAGATCCGCGAGTAGATTTTGAAGGTATTCTCCGTTAGTTTTCTCTAAAGCATCAATCAATCCATGTCTCTTTTTTGGTAGAAAAACGGCGAAGGAGAATCGACGATCTTGATATTTCAGCGAGAGTACTTGGAATAATTGGTCCTCGGTGTAATCCCGGTGTTCGCAAAACTCATTCAAGAAAGGAATCTGAAAGTACTTCCTAGAACCGTACAGAACTACTCCTTACCGTTCTTGACTGTCCTTCCATCGCATGAAAATCTCTAACTGACGTCATGTCCTTCTCGAATTTTCCTTGCCAGTCGGCCTTGAAATACACAGCATTCACTAAGACAGCAAGGGAGTCTTTAACAGCATCCTCGGGAATGAGGTCCTTAATTTTTCCAGATGTGGCATTCTCGACAAATGAGTTCATGATCTTAGCAGATTCCGCAGCTTGGTTGAAGTCCAAGTTCTGGGCGGAAGCTTTGTAGTACTTCTCGACGGCTTCTTTGTAGCTTTGTTTGATGGAGAGGTCTTGGCTGGAAAAATAACTTTTGAGCCCCCTGACTTTTCATCCTCACTCACTTTACAAAAACGCTGTTCGCGATGTTGGTCTCCACGCCGTTCTCCGCGTTGCTAACCATCTCCATGACACCAGCAAAGTGGTCCCGAATACGGCTTTCATCATCGGAGCCCACCAGCACCCTTTCGAGCTCCTCTCTCGTCGAGCCACGTGTCCCTTCATGGACCAACGCGAGAGCAAGTGAAATGGAAAGGGGGGAGAGGACAACAGAGCCTTCATGGGGAAGCGTTGCCAGGAGTCGAAGAGCTAAGTCCATCTCGTATTGGGAACTGGAAATTTGTAAACGTGGAAATGTGCCTGAAACGGTCCATTGCGGAACCGGTCAGTCTAAAAATGTATCTTCTCGAGAAAAAAGTCACAACCCATAAAACGCGACATGTTTGAACTCTATCAGAGCAATTTCTAGGAGTTTCTGCACTTGGTTGGTTTCGAGCGGTTTATTTCTTTTGTATGATTTTGCACAAAAAAGTTGTCAACTACGAAATTGAATCTCTATTTTTGTTTAGTAAGCCAGCAAGTTTTCAGTCTCAACCAACTAAATTCACTACATATTTTTGGACATCCAAACTTTGTTATTTTAATTATTTTGACCAGTGCTGAACATTTTAAATTAATTCATTTAAAGTAGGTCTCATCAAAATCATCCTGACATCACTTCCATCGCTATGAAAAATATTCTATTTTTGCATTCCCATAAAAATTTATTTAAGAGTCTACTCCAATTCATTTTGGCTCTAGTGTGCTGTTTTTTTGATTTATTGCTCAGCGATTTTATGTGATGCGAGAGCAGAACTTTCTAAAAATAAAAATTTAGCATTCTGACAGATAAAAAGGTTTGAGAGACTGGAAAGGATTATCTCTTTAAATCCCGATGATAATCTTTTTTTTTCGAGCAAAAAGAAGAAAAAAAATGTCATGATTTTTTTCAAGAGAAGTGGATTAGGGCTGGAAAAGATGGGGTGGAATTCAAAAAGTCAGGTGAGTAGGTAAGAATTTGAAAGCTTCCAAACCCTCCTTAACCAAATTTCATCACTTCAGCGTTCGGGAAACATGGATTCATATAACCTGAAAATCTGAATCTCTGAATTTCGAATTTTCATAATTTCAGAACCTCAAAGTTTCAAAACATCCGAATTCCATCATGTCGTGAACTAGAAATCTTATAGTCTCAAAAGCAGAGAATTTCAAAACCTCTGAATCTCATAACCTCAGAATCGAGAATCTCAAAATCTCAAAATATTGAAAACTCTCTCCGAATCTCAGGATCTCAAAATTTTCAGAATATCGGAATCTCAGAATCTCATCACCTCAGAATCGAGAATCTCTAAATCTCAGAATCTCATAATCTCAAAAGCCGAAAATTTCAAAAGCTCAGAATCTCATAACCTCCGAATCTCAGAATCTCAGAATTTTCAGAATATCAAAACCTAAGAATCTCAGAATCTCAGAATCGCAGAACATCAGAATCTCAGAATATCATAGTCCCAGAATCAAAAATTTCCACTCACATTTTCTCGTCAACCATGATGAAGATGATTGCTCAGCTTCAATTGAATTCAACCAATTTCCAAATTTCCAAGTTTCCTGAAATCAAAAAGCAAAAGTTCGAAACCAAAACCAAACCCAGTAGACAAAAGAAGTGATGTCTCATGTATGAATCAAAAAAAGTTTCGAAAAAAAGAACATCCCTCCCGCCTTCATTTCTCTCGTTTCTCCTTCAATACACACGTACACAGGCCAGTCAGTCAGCCAAAAACCAAACACAAACACCGAAATAAACATGCAAACTGCTGGCCGAGAGAATATAAAGTGCGTGTGGAACACAGAGAGACATGGACGGGAGACGCAGAGAAAGAGCAAAAAATAGAAAAAGTGACTAAAAGGAAATTCTAGGTGGCTCCCTTTTATACTTGGCTGGGTTCTAGTTCAAGAGGGGTTGGGTTTATTGGTTTTCGAAAAAAATCTAAATGTCACTTCGATTTATTTCGAAAGTTAAGAAAATTGGGCAAAAATAGAAAAAAGTAGAAGAAAAAAAATTGTGTTATCAGTTTGTTTATCAAACAGTTGACCAGAATCAAAGGAAAAGAGAAAAATGAATCAAGTATAGATGCCCATGAAAAGCGGCGAATTGTCTTTGATGATTGAGAAGAGGAACGGATGGTCAGCACGAATACTCAGAGGGTCACCGCTTCGTCCAGACGTGAAATAGATTTTGGCTTCGGTGACGCCAGCGGCGCGAGTGCCTACTTGATCTACCTGGAAGATCAGAAAAAAAAATTTTTTTCTAAATCAAAACTAGAAAAAAAAATGAAAAGATTTCAATTTATGATCCCAAAAATTCAGATATTGAGTCAAAAAATAACATATTTTGAGTCTGAAAACTTCTACGAAAATGCGAAAAATTAAGAAATTAAAAATGTTAGAATTTCATAATCCCAAAGTTTCATAATATTTATGTCGAAAAAATAATGACTCAGGATCTCAGAATTTCAGAATTCCTCTTCACAGAATTTTAAAATTTCACATTCTTGGAATCTCGGATCCTCGGAATGTCAGCAATTAAACAACTGCAATTACACAGTTTCTCAGAATTTCAGAATTTCAGACTTTCAGATATTCAGAATTTCAGAATTTCAGAATTTCAGAATCCATGAATTTCTAATTTCTCACCTCAATAAGAGCCTTATGTGTTGCTGACGCCAACTGAAGCCCTGGACCAATTCCAGACAAGTCAGCTCGTTCCGTGAATATCTCAGAAAGGCCAAATTTTCCAAGAGCCTGATTCAAACTGATCTGATAATCCAGTTTGAACTTTGGGAAAGTCAGAAAAATGTATTCTTGGTAGACATTGTTGATGAGATTGTGGAATTTAGCAGCGTTGAGGGTTTTCAGATTGTTCGAAAGCCCAAATCTACGAATAGGGAGAAAAATGGCAAACCAGGCGGATTTGTCTTTGAATGGAATTCCAATGACCTTAAGAACTTGATATTTGTAAATTGAATCTTCCAGAACGAAAGTTACCTCCCATTCGTCATCCTTATTATAAAAATAGTTATCCCTGAGCTCACGAAGCATAGGAACCAGACGATTTTCCGTGTCGGAAACACTGAAATTCGATTCTGAAGGCTCCGAAAATCTCTTGCGCCAGTCTCCTTGGAAAAATATAGCGTTGACCAGCATGGCGTCCACATCTAAATTGAAGATTTCTAACTTTTGATATTTAATGGTTTTGGTCAACCCTTCAAATTATCCGGTTTCACCATGTCAATGATTTTGTCTTTAGTTGCTTCTGATATGAAACCATTGATAATTTTTGCCGCATCGTCGGACTTTTTGAAGTCAACTGTGGATGTTTTGGCATTGTAGTGTTCTTGGAGTTGGTCGGTGAAGTCTTTGCGGATGGCTTGTTCGGGTCTGGAAGCCAAAAGATAAATGGGATTAGATTTTTTTTTAGTGCACAATTGTCAACTTTGATGTCTTGAAATTGTTGGTTGTCTAGAATTCTTTTGATTCATCTGAAAATTTCCAAATATACTAAACAAAAATAGAACTTCAATGCCTTAGTTGCTATTTTTTAAACCGCTACCAAAGTTCTCTGAGAATTTGCTGGAAATTTGTACAAGAGTACCTTCGAGCATGCTGAAAACAATTTGAGAAATATCTTGCCCCCGGTTACAATAGGAATCTAAATATGGGTGATCGAAATATCAAAGAAAGAAATTGAAGTATAGGCAAGACAAAGCTCAACTTTTATTTCAGTGCTCTTTTCGGTCCCCTTTTTTGTTATCGCATCAGAATGGAATTTGGCGAAAAAGTTTCAATTATCAAAATAATTTTTTAAAAAGCTATTTATGTCTAGTTCATATACTCTGAGCTTTTCGGGGCGATTGAAAAATACTGAACCATTTTTTCAGAACTCTGAAAAATACCATACCATACCGTATTTCCTCTGATAGAAGCCCACTGGACGTAGAAGCCCACTGAAAACGTCCAGTGTAGGTACACGAGCATTTACGGTATGCTATTTTTTCGTCCGGTAATCCTTTAACGAAAAAGAGAATTTACTAACTTACGCGACAAAAAGACGATTAGCAATGAGTGTCTCCACATCATTCACCGTGTTGTTCAAAAGTTTGTTAACAAACGCAAAATGCTCAATGAATTGCTCATCAGTGCTTCCATTCACTACAGAATTTCGAATGTCATTTCGCGTATGACCCTTGGCTCCAAGATGCACCAAAGCTAGCGATAATAAAATTGAAACTGGAGAGAATACACATGGAGCTAGCTGACTTTCAGTTAGATCTGAAAGCAACTTCAACCCAAATTGGGCTTCCGTAAATGTGGAATTAACGAGCGAGAAGCTCATAGGTGGAAAAGTTAGGATCAATTGAGGATTGAAAGTTTGGAAGAAGTTTTGAGCAGCTGTTTGTTACACTTTATGTCAGGGGTCGGAGAAGGGGTGAAGAATCGGAAGGAATGTTTGTTATTTGTTATTGTGTCACTTCAAACAGGAATCAATTTCATTGCATTCACCGACAAGGGAGAGAAAAAATTGATTTTTTGGAGGAAGACATGATAGTCTACATGAGCGAATAGGATCATTGTTCCCAGACTTTATGGATGTATTGGAAAAACATGTATTGAAAAATAAATACATTTCAAAGTCTGATGAATTGCACTCAATGGTCGCAAAGTTCAATTAAATAGGCATGTGCGATCGTTTAGCATTTCTATTCTTGAACTACTGGGATACTTAGATTTTGAGATTCTTAAAGGAGGCCAGACACCAAAAAAAAAGTTTTCCTGATATTTTGCCTAGAGAACCCCCCCCCCCCCCCCATGAGGAGTTGAACTCATGCTGGATAGCTCAGGGGTACAGCGCCGCTACCGGCTGAGCTACGGGGGCGCGAAGGCGCCTGCCGACCGATGGCCTACATAAACGAGGTGCGCTTTCGTCCCCCAAACTTTTGTCCCCCAAAATTTTTGCTGTCTGGCCTCCTTTAAAATCTGAGATATTGAAATTTCTGAAATCCTGGAATTATAATTTTTTAAAATTCTGTGAAAATCTCAGACTTTCAGATTCTCAAAACCTCAGTTTCTCAAGATTCTCAGGTTCTGAGATTCTGAAATTATGAGGTTCTGACATTCTAAGATTTTGAAATTCTGAAATTCCTAGATCTTCAGATTCTGAAATTCTTAAATTCTGATATTCGGAAATTCTGAAAATCTGAAATTCTGAAATTCTAGTATTCTGAGATCTGAAGTTTTCAGATTCTGAAATTCTTAAATTCTGATATTCGGAAATTCTGAAAATCTGAAATTCTGAAATTCTAGTATTCTGAGATCTGAAGTTTTCAGATTCTGAAATTCTGAAATTCTAAAATTCCGAGATTCTGAGATTCTGAAATTCTGAGATTATTAGGTTCTGACATTCTGAAATTCTGAGATTCTGACATTCTGAGATTCTAAGATTCTGAGATTCTGAGATTCTGAGATTCTGAGATTCTGAGATTCTGAGATTCTGAGATTCTGAGATTCTGAGATTCTGAGATTCTAGGATTCTGAGGGTCTTCGGTGTTTTAAAACTTTTGAGATTCTAAGTTTCGAAGGTTCCAAACTTCTGAAAATCAGTTTTGAGGATTGGAAAATTTCAATCAGTTTTGAGGATTGGAAGAGGAGAGGATTCAGATTATCTGAATCCGTTTTAACGAAGCCCCCTGAAATTCTGAGATCGCGTTATGAGGATTCGAAACTTCTAAATTCTCAGTTGTTTGCCTGACTTTTCAAATCCTACCGCATCCTCTTTAGCCCCAATCTACTTCTCTTGAAAAAAATCAGACATTCTGAAATTCTGAAATTCTGAGATTCTAAAATTCTGAAATTCTGAGAGTCTAAAATTCTGAAACTCCACAGGGTAACGGCTGCGCATGGTATATGCGTTGGCGCGGCGTCTCATATGGACGACATAGTTAAGCTATATGCGCGCACGCGCGATCGAGATCGGGCGTGCCGCGTCCATATTTCGTCTACAATTTCAGGTCGTATTGGGGATGGATATCTCATATATTGATTAGTTCATCTAACTATAGTTGTAAAAGATGTGATTTTGTTCAGATTTTCCAATATCGTTCATTTTCCTTTTCAGATTTTACAGAGTGACCATTTTTCCAGTTTTCGCAGAATGCTCTCACAGCAAGAAAAACTATGAATTTTGTTTTCGATATATTTGAGTTTCTCGGATTTTTTTTCTACTTTTACTTCGTAATAATCGGAAAAATTACCAACCAACCTTCATTCCACCTTAAAAGTATATTATTTCGCTTATTCCGAAGTAAAACAGAAAATCCTGATTTCGAGAAAAATCAGATTTTGTAACAAATTTTACCGATTTCTTTACAAAAAATAGGTTGTATTTTAGTTGGGCATAATTTTTACAAGTGAAAACAGCGAGAAGATCTTTGAAAACAGGAAACATGGTCGATATGATCGAAAAATATAGCGCGCACGCGCTACCCACGGAATTATTATGGGCACACATAGCATCCTACATGCGCGCCTAGGCATATGCCGTTACCCTGTGTCTGAGATTCTACTAATGATCACGAAGAGAATTTCCTTTAAAAAAACTGAACACCTCAATTATTTTTCCATTCCAAATTTTCAGGCCAATTATTTCTGACGTTCTGTATTTTGATGTTTGTTGCTCAAAAGTCTAGGGGCTAATGATTCATAAGTGCCATCCAAAATTATCTATAATTTTCTAGTCATGCCACTAACTTTTTGTGAAAGAAAATTTTCCAGGTGGAAGAAAAAAGGAATAATTATAGTTCGCCCCAAAATTTCATTCACTCAAACTTCACAACGAAAAATTCAAATTTCTGACAAACATTATTTTCAAAAAGGTCTCTCCTACTCCAAAGTTTCTCGTCTTATTCGTCATTCTTTCATCTTGAAAAATTAGAAAAAAAAATGATACGCGGTTCCAATTTCTGCCCTCTAGAGTGTCCGATTTACTATGAACCTATTATCCATTCAATCGGTGTAGTGTCCACTATTTGTAATTTATTTGGGATTTATTTAACACTAACCAAGTCCAAGAAAAATACGAATTACAGATTTTGTCAACTTTATGTTCAGGTAATAATCAATCATTTTTTGTTGTATAAATTTTGAAAAATTTCAGATAACCGCGCTAATCACGGAAATTGATTTATCAATTATCAATCCTGCTTATTTCTTCTTCCCAATGATTGGAGGTATGAATTGTGGAGTGATGCGAGAGTTCCAGGTGAAGTACGGAGTGACGTCACACATTTGTATCGTATGTTTAAAGAAAATCTGTGTATCCGGATGTCCTCGATTTTCAGACATTTTTTGCCTTCATCTTTTGCATGCAAGTTCCAGCACTGCTCACGTGTTTCATGTACCGTCATCAGGCAGCCGCAAAGTGTAGTCCGGATAAAGTGGGAATTTATTTTCAAAAATTGAATTTTTTATTTCTGATTTTCAGGCCTGGAGCCTTTCGAAATTGCACAGTATCTCACTTCTATTTGTCTATCATGCATTTCCAGTGATCATTGCATTTTCTTTGTATCATTCTGGACTGTCGATGGAGCAAAAGGAAATCTCTATTATAGAGGTAAGTGTAAAATCCATATTCAAAGGAGAGGGGACAACAATATACATATTTCTCGAAATTTCGTTAATATGCGCCAATGGAGTGGTCGCGTTGCTACTAGCGGAGCTCCGCTGCCAGGAGTTGCACTTCCGCCACCGTAGCTCAGTTGGTAGCAACGCCATACCTCAATCGGTGGGTCCACAAGTTCAACTCCTCGAGAGGTTTATTTGAACAAAATTCCAAGAAATTCAAAATTATTAGTTACCGTTTTCTTCAGAACTATCCCGATTGCTACCCATCGCTTCAAGATTTTACTTTCGATTTTTACGATTATAAAGAAAACTCGACATTTGTGGCATTCGGAATTCTAATCTCCGTTTATTATGTGATGGCTGGTGTCATAGGATTTGGGCTTGCTTGGAGAACTGGTCAAGTTCTCAATCGATATCGCTACATCATGTCGGCTAGAACTTATCAATTGCACAAGTCTTCTATGATAACGTTGACAACTCAGGTTAGTCTTATTTTCTGATGTTTGAGGTTTGGTAAATAAAGTATTATGAAAATGATGTATGAAAAATGTGTACTATTTTTTTGTTGAAAATAGCATAGAATTAAAGTGACATGAGCAACATACACATATAGCAAACATAAAGTAGTTGCCCAATAATAGTGATTTAAGAAGTTCAAAAATTCAACATGTGGAAAATAAAAAAAACTTTGAATCCCTGAAAAAGTAGTTCAGAATTTTTCGATTTGTCTGGAAATTTGAAAGTGTACTAAACAAAATTAGAACTTCATTTAATTGACCATTTTTTGTACAATTCCATCAAGGCGAGATGGGCGGTTTTGAAGTGGCACGACTCTCAAATCAGTGCCATTATTGGCATAACTTTAATTTCAGCGCTAGTTTAAGATTTGCCACTTGTTTGAAGTTTTACAAAAAAGTAGTCAACTACAAAACTAAAGCTCTAATTGTATTTTTCAGTACACTCTGTGATTTTCAGACTAGTCGGAAAGTTCTGGGCTACTTTTTCAAGTCATCAAATTTGACCGTTTTCAATTGAAAAAAATAAATATAATAGTTTTGTTTCCCGTGCTGTAATTTCTCCTGGCATCTTCATTTTCAGGTCACCGGTCCAGCGTTGGTTCTTGGCATACCAGTGTTTGCTGTCTACGTAGTTGTAGCGAGTCAACTTGCACAACTCCATGGTATCATCATCCTAACTCAAGCTCTCAACAATGGAAATTTTCAGCGCTAGCCGCCACTGCTCCATTCTTCATCTGCATGCACTCTGCGGTGACGACTGGATGTCTAATTATGACCACTGCTACATTCAAAAACTTTGTGACAAAAAAGTACGAAGAATTCAAGGAAAAATTACCATGCAAAAAATCGAGGCCAACATTTGTGGCTGTGACAAGTCCTTGTCCCATGGCAGTGAGACCGATTCCCAGTGGGGTTCATACGTACTTTTGAAACTACCGTAATTTTACCTCTATTTGTTTATTAAGGTTTCTTTTTTTCTAAATACATTGATAACGATTTATTATGAAGTTGTATAGAGATCTTGAGACCTTTGCTAGAAGAAAGTTTTATTTTGAAGCATAGAAAGTCGCTCCAACCTTCAAAGAAATTTTTGAATGATCTTCTGGGTTTTGAAGAAAAATTTTGTCCAAAGTTTTCAGACAAATAACACTATTGCGTCTAGAAAGTTTTTGAAACAAATTTGTTGTCTGGAAAAGATCAATTTTTGATTTATACAGAAACTGGCACATAATTCGGAGGGTACATTAATGCGGGTGTAGAAGAGGGGTACCAACTGATTTAGAGGTACAAAATCCACATCGGGTTGTACAAAAATCGAATTTCTCCAGGTATTTTTAGCTTCGAAACAAGGATTTTGTACCCTCCGAACTATTTGCCACAGAAGTTCAATCCAGGTTTCCAGAGATTTTAGACTATCTATGTCCGATCAAGATCCCACAGTGATCCACCATCAATGATTCCAGATCGAAGTACCAAGTGCTCTTCACATCATAGTTCATCCTCCTCGAGTCACCAATATATACTACTAGGAGACATCACGTTATTGCTCTCCCCTCTCTCTCTCTCTCTCTCTCTCAGGATGATCAGAGTACACTCAACATGATACAGCGTGCCCTTCTATCCTCGACTCCTCGTCGCTGACCGTTCTTTCGGGGGAATACCTATCACGCTCTTTTTCCACAGGTGTCTGCGTTTCCGTGATCTGCGCGCTGTCTCATTGTCTTATCGTTTTTCTTTGCCGAAACAGTTGTCATCTGGCAGCGGGATGGGAACGAAGTGTGTTGTTGATGATTGTGTTGTTTCGAGAGCACGACGAAAATAATTTGAAGGCGAGGAGAAGAAGAAGAACTGATAAAAAATGTATCAGTTTTGGCAGCGCACTTAAGAATAAGAACCAGCGGTCAAAAATTGTTAAAGCTGAAAATTTTAAAGAAAAGTTCCCAAAAAACTAAAATTAGTCATCATGTAATTAATGTTGTACCACTTTAAATCCAATTACAGTACCAGTCGATAAGATACAAAAACGCGTTTTCAGTTGATTTTGAGTATTTTCAGGAGACTGGAGCTCGGCTGTCAAGTATCCGAAAAATTTGAAAATCTTTGAGGGTGTGAAACAGATCTAAATTGAAAACTTTGGATTCACAGAATTTTTCGAAAATCCCTAGTTTTACAGCAACTTGCCGATTTCTGAAGGACACCTGCTTTTTTCACGTTTTAGTACAAAAACAGGAAAAGTTGAGTGTCTTTCAAAAATCCGCAAAGATCTGTAAAACTTAAAATTTTTAAAGCCTGTGAATGCAAAGTTTTGAATCTTGATCTGTTTTACATCATCCAAAATTTTCAAAGTAATCGGAAACTTGACATCCAAACTCCAGACTCCTGAAAATGGTCAAAATCGACTTTAAAAAAAACATTTTTGTATATATTATTGACCGGTGCTGTATCTCGCTTTGTTGGAAATGTACAAAAAATGTCAACTACAAAACTGAAGCTTTACTTTTGTTTATCGCACTTTGAAATTTTCAGACAAATTGGAAAACTTGGGACTATGTTTTCAGGTCGCTAAAGTTGATTACTTTCGTAAGAAGGTCAAAAAATGTTTTTTTTTTGCTGAAAACGAGCCCAAATTTTTTACAGAACGTTTTTTTCCGATTCTCAAACATCGAACTTTCAAACTTCTGGTCATAAATCAGAAGCTGTACTTTAAATTTTGACTCAACAATCTGACAACCAATTGTTCTGGTCCATCCAATCCTTTGGTCCAAAGTACACCCCGTGTCCTCCTCCTGGTGTTCTTCTGTACTTTGTCCCTTCCCCTATCGTTTCTTGTTTTTCAACTCACCACGTGCCGCTGTTTTATTAGCGATTGGTGATTAGAAGTACACCGGATCAACTGCAGAGAACGATCAGAAATTTTCAAATAATTTTTTTTAAAGTTTTGAGTTTTTTTCTATAAAACAGTAGATGAAAAATCGGTGATTAAACAAATAGCAGTGGAAGACAAATAAACATTTTTTCCTAGATATTTTCTTCACTATCATTTTTATATTTTGTCTAGAATTGTTCACTGATCAGTTATGTGAATTTACACTAAACCAGTCTCTCTGTTCTTTGAAGATCAATTAACAACAGCTGTCCCCGTCTCAGCTATAGATTCGATAAAAAATTTGAATTGATAGAAAAAGTTGATAAATTTGCGAATTCCTACTCACATATTCAATTTTTGCTAAAATTAAGTACAAAATGATTTCTAAATTTGGACCTCTAGTCGTTTTTCCCGCCGCTACCGATCGTTGTGTTCTGATAGTTGATAATTTAGAGAAAACTGATTAGTGCATATACATCGCACATCAGCAAGTGCCTTTTGGATCAAAGAAGCTTCAGACGTACTACTTCACAGATCAGACAGAATAAAAAGATAACATAGAAATAGAGGGACCAGAGAAGAGGAAAAAACATGCGATCGGGTGTTGCAAATAAAAATAAAATTGAAGCGATGGTCTTGGAGAAAGATCAACAACGTGGATTTCGGTGAGGGCGCTTTGGTGTAGGGGAGAAGTCAAAAAACGAAAAAAAAAAGATTTTAGATTTCAAAAAATTTCCTATCCGTACACCTTGAGCTGAACTATTTTAGTTTCTTCAAAAGATATCAAGTCATTTTTCACTGATAAATTATTCATCATAATATTATCAATACTTTATCAGCTGGCAGATTTTGGATATCTCTACAGGAACCGAGATAATTATGTGTCTCAAGTTGCTTATATAGGGTTGGTTTTAGCAAATAAGGTAATTCTTCAACGTACCGGATTTGAATTATTGGATAGTTTTGATACTTTTGAGAATTGTACCGCCTAAAATATAGACCTACTCAGCCAAACACAACACACCCGGAATGAATCTATTTGGAAAAAAAAAAACACCCTATTGAACCTCTTCATAATCACCAATTTTCAATTCCGCCATCACCGATCAACAACCACCATATCAAGCCTCTTCTCAATTTGCAATCGAAAAATAAATGTAAACAAAATAATGAATGTTCTCTCTGTTTCTCTATTTCTCTCCTATCTCACAATCTAATTGTTATGTATCTTGTGTCTCTCTACTCATCAAATGATATCACACCCCAACACAGGGCTCCGCCCATTTCTATAGTTTCGGACCCACATCGCTCTGCGTCTCTTGATAAGAGAGCATCGGTATAAAAGAAGGGTCCCGGGGAAGTGTGCCGACTTTAGTTCCTATTTAATTGGGAAGCTAAATCTATTCAAAAAGCTTTTAAAAATGACCACGCCAGCAGCCGGAGCAGCAGCCAAGAATTTCTATCAGGTATAAATAATTGGAACTTTGAAACGCTGAACTGAAAAACAACTTCAGGTAGTCAAATCGGCACCAAAAGGCCGTTTCAAGGGAATCAAGCGTGACTACACTGTTGAAGATGTGCTCAAACTTCGTGGATCCATCGACATCGACTACACTCTTGCCACTCGTGGAGCTAACAAACTCTGGCAACTTCTCCATACAGAACCATTTGTGCCAGCTCTCGGAGCCCAAACCGGAAACCAAGCAGTTCAAATGGTTCGTGCTGGACTGAAGGCTATTTATTTGTCTGGATGGCAAGTGGCCGCTGACGCCAATTCCGCCGGAGACATGTATCCAGATCAGTCATTATACCCAGCAAATTCCGGTCCAGAACTCGCCAGAAGAATCAATAGATCATTGAGAAGAGCTGATCAGGTAAAGCACTAGCTTTAGTCCTTTCTATTCCAATAACTTGCAGATCGAGGCCTGCGAAGCTGAGGACTATTTGGCCCAACGTGACTGGTACGCTCCGATCGTCGCCGACGCTGAAGCTGGATTCGGAGGAGCTCTCAATTGCTTCGAATTGATGAAGGTGAGAGCTCTAAAGGGGTGAACAGTTGGTCGTCTCTTGACCAGTGGACACTTTTGGGCGAGCAACGACGAGTAGAAAAGATAAGAAATGAAAGTGACAGTTGGCAATGTTTATGTGTAAAAGTGTATAGAATTGAAATTTCCGAGCAGCTAAAGGAAGTGATAGGATAATAGTAATAGGATGAGTCTAATGGTCCAGCAAGTGATCATTGATCAGGACCACTTTGATACTTTGACTTTTTGATATTGATTACACCGTTCTTCTGTACAGAAGTATCTTGTTTGGTTCACCACCTGTTCCTTCCTTCTTCTCCATTTTTTTTTGTGATTTTGGTCAATCAGCAAAGACTATCATTTCTTCTTTTCTTTCTCTTCTTGCGGCCCTACTAATGATAAGATAAGACAAACGCGAAAACACTGGCTTGTTTACCAAGTCAAACGATCTTTGACTGTTATAGTTCAATTTTTGAAGGACATCAATATTTCAGGCCTACATCGAAGCAGGAGCCGCTGGAGTTCACTACGAAGATCAGTTGGGTTCTGAGAAGAAATGTGGACACATGGGAGGAAAGGTTTTGATCCCGACCGCACAACATATCCGTCACTTGAACGCCTCCCGTTTGGCTGCTGATGTCTGTGGAGTTCCTACCATCATTGTCGCCAGAACCGATGCAGAATCTTCGAGACTTTTGACTTCGGATATTGATCCAAGGGATCATCCATACATTGATTACGACGCTGGCAGAACCATTGAGGGATTCTACAGACTTAAGGATTCAACTGCCATCCAATACTGCGTGGACCGTGCCATTCAATATGCTCCATACTGTGACCTCATCTGGATGGAGACGTCTCATCCAACGATTGCTGATGCCAGAGAGTTTGCTGAAGGAGTTCACAAGCAATATCCAGACAAGATGTTCGCTTACAACTGCTCACCATCGTTCAACTGGAAGAAGCATCTCTCGCCATCGCAGATGGAGAAATTCCAGAAGGAATTGGGAGCGATGGGATTCAAATATCAGTTCATCACTCTTGCCGGATTCCATGCCAACAGTTATAGCATGTTCGACTTGGCGAAGAACTACAAGGAGACTGGAATGTTGGCTTATTCGGCTCTCCAGGAAGGAGAGTTTGCTGCTGAGAAGCATGGATACACGGCTGTCAAGCATCAACGTGAAGTCGGAACCGGCTACTTTGACGCCGTCAGTCGCGCGGTTACCGGAGGACTTTCTTCAACTACTGCCTTGTCGGGATCCACCGAGGAGGCTCAATTCCAAACTGCCGTTGCTTCGGCTTCCGAAGATGAAGAAATTCTTTCTGTAAGTTTATTTTTATTTTTTTAGTCGATCCATCTCAATGAGTCCATTTCCAGCTAACCGCCCAAACTGTCGCCGGAGATGAGAAGATTCTTACTCCAGATGCTCTTCGATTCCTTCACGACCTCAACACAGAATTCAATCCACGTCGTTTGAGACTTCTCTCAAAGCGTCGTCAAGTTCAAGATGATATCAACAGCTCTCTCTGGTTCCCAGACTTCAATAAGGAAACCGAAGTCCTTCGCAGCGATCAAGGATGGAAGGGAGCGGAAATTCCACGTGACTTGCAAGACAGAAGAGTCGAAATCACTGGACCAACTGATCGTAAGATGGTCATCAATGCTATGAACTCTGGAGCAAACGTCTTTATGGCCGATTTCGAGGATTCCAACTCTCCAACATGGAGAAACCAATTGGAAGGACAAATCAATTTGTATGATGCAGTCAGGAAGAACATCTCCTATGTTCATCCAACCACCAAGAAGGAGTACACTTTGAATGAGAAGCACGCTGTCTTGAAGGTCCGTCCACGTGGATGGCATCTTCCAGAAAAGCACGTCTTGATCCATAACCAACCAACCTCCGGATCCCTCTTCGATTTCGGACTATTCGTCTTCCATAACGCAAAGGCTCTCATCGCTCAAGGCTCCGGACCATACTTCTATCTTCCAAAGCTTCAAAGTGCCGAGGAAGCGCAACTCTGGGCTGACGTCTTCAAGTACACCGAGGAGAAACTGGGATTGGCTCGTGGAACCATCAAGTGTACCGTTCTTATTGAGCACTTGCTTGCCAGCTTCCAACTTCATGAGATCATCCATGCTCTCAAGGATAACATCGTTGGACTCAACTGCGGACGTTGGGATTACATTTTCTCCTACATCAAGACCTTCCAATCCCATCGCAAGTTCTTGTTGCCAGACAGATTCCAAATTGGAATGACTGCTCCATTCATGAGAAACTACTCCTTGGAGGTCATCAAGGCTTGCCATCAACGTGGAATCCATGCTATGGGAGGAATGGCTGCTCAAATCCCAATCAAACACGACCCAGCTGCTAACGACAAGGCATTTGCTTTGGTTAGAGCTGACAAGGAACGTGAAGTCACTGATGGACACGACGGAACCTGGGTTGCCCATCCAGGATTGGTGCCACTGGCCAAGGGAGTTTTCGATCAGATGATGCCAAAACCAAACCAGATCAACAAGCTCCTTTCTCGGTCTCCATGCTCAAAGGAAGATTTGACAGTGATCCCAGAGGGAACTCGTACTGAAGCTGGCTTCCGTCATAATATCTCAGTCACTCTTGGTAAGTCAATCTGACTTCTGAATCACGTGAAACAACACATTCTTTCAGGATACCTTGACTCTTGGCTCCGTGGAACCGGATGTGTCCCATTGTACAACTTGATGGAGGACGCCGCCACCGCTGAAATCTCTCGTGCTCAACTCTGGCAATGGCTTCATCACGACGCCAAACTCGAGGACGGACGCACTATCGACGCAGGACTTGTCAAGCAAACCATCGCCGCTGAATCCGAACGTCGTCTGATTCGTGCTGGATCCGTTGTCAACCGAATTCCAGAAGCTGCCGAACTCCTCGAGAAGTTTGTCACTGAGGAGAAACTCAGCGATTTCTTGACAACTGATGCCTACGATAAACTTGTGTCGGAAGGTTATTAGGCACTTTATTTTCTCAATTATTCGTATACACTTTTGATTTCGTTTCTCTTGCACAGGTTTCTATTGTACATTCTGCCGTACCTAATTTTATAAATTTTGATTTCAATACTTTTGCTAATCATTGACGTCAAACTCAAAATATTCATACGAATCAAATCACAACGAAGAACTTTGTCTGTCGTGTGAAATCGTTCAACAGGAAACGTATTCTCTGAGTATCAAGAAAATCAAAATCAGTCTGCAAGAAGCAAAAAAAAATGTTTCTTGCTATCCTACTCTCTTTCATCGGAGTGATTTGTGCAATTGCGATTGTTCTTTTGAATTGCTTTTTCATTTATTTGTTCAAAAGGTAACAGAGAATGAATTATGCAGTCGTAAGCTTTGGCGACGTCCGCTTAGCTCAGCATTTAGCGGCACGCCCATCCAAAATTTTGTCTACGAGTTCAAGATCCTCCAGAAACTTCGAGTTTATCTCTAAAGAGCATAGTTGCAAACGAGCCGGCCCGGGCAGATGGCGGGCCGGCAGATAACTTGTCTCCAAATCGAGATATTCAGACAGTTTTGGTACCAAATGATAGATCTCGACAGGGCCCATCACGTCTATATCATTTCAGCCGGATTCCGATCCATTAACATGCCGCGGGCCGGGCTAGATTGGCGGAAAACCCGATAGATTTTTTTTATTATTTTGAAGAGCGTAAAACAAACCTAGATTGAAAACTTTGTATTCACAGAATTTTTTGAAAATTTCTAGTTTTTTAGTTATTTACCAATTTCTGAAAGATACCCCTATACTCCTGAAAGTGGTCTAAATCAACTGAAAAAACGTTTTTTTTCAATATTTTTTTGACTGATGCTGTAGTTCTTTTTGTGTCATTTTATTAGATTACGCAAATTTCAGCAAAAAACATCACAACACCAATGGTATGACACAGTTCTCCTATCGCTTTCATTTGGATGTAATAATTGGAATCACCATGTCATTTTATATTGGACATACTCTCACATTTTATATTTTTCCTGATTTTTTTGAAACAAGTAAACTTATGGTTCTCTGGTTCGGATTGTTGACGGCAAACTTGCAAATGAGCAGAATAATGTTTCAATTATTCATCACTTGTGATCGAGTTGTGGTAAGTTGGAAAACTTTGATGCAACATTCGTGGGTGGATGAGTTCAGATAAGGAACTAATGAGCACATCAGACATCAGTTTCAACAGACGCCAAGAGGCAACATTAAAAATTTTTTTGAGAAGTTTAGAATTTAAGGGACACCTAATGACCTACACCTTACAGGCAGCATTCCTACCTATCACGTATCACATCTACCATTCTCGAGTTCCTGTAAACCTATTATTTTGTTTGTCTTTATGCATTGGTTTATCACAAAACGTTGCCTACTTCTATGTCTGTGAAAATCTAATCGACGTCCCTATCAACTGTTTATCACTTGGGTGTGCCACTACAGCCTGCTTTCGAAATTATTGGTCCACTTTTCAGACTGTGAGTTTCTCCAGATCAATATGAAATTCAATCTTGTTCGTTTCCAGGTGGTTATCTCAATAGTTATCTTTCCCGCTTTAGCATTTTACATCCGTTTATTCGTTTGGAGCAAACCTATCAGCTCATTTGCCCAAGCCAATCGATTAGCAGTCATTGATGCTGTAACCACATTCTTCTGTCAATTCGTCCCACCATTATATCTTACTCTTTTTCCTGATTTCGAACTTTTCCAATTGTCGTATTCTGGCCCTTTTCTGCTATTTGGAAAAATTTTAGGAAGCACAATTGAGTCTATCGTAATGTTCTGGCTGCTAACGGGAAAGTTTACTGTTCACCAGCCGAAGATATTTTCAGTACGAGATGCATCTCAACGCTCATAATTCTGTGTTAAAAGATTTGTGACTACTTCTTTAATTCCAAAAGTTGATTGAACTAATTTCCGTCACATTCTTCTCTGAATGTGAGAATGTGCAAAAATAAACGAATCTAAACGAACGTCTGGAAATATTTGTTGACAACGCCTGAAAATGCTTTTTAATAACGTCTGATATTGCTTCTGATTTATTTTGGGGCAGCACATTCATTATTAGCTGAGCAACGGTACTACCGTAACTCCCAAAAAAATGAAGAGAATGTTAAATGTCACCTCTTTGAGAACATCTAAAAATCCTACCAATCGGGACGGAAGAAAAATAAATCAAAAGTTTACATAATCAAAACCATTTTGAGAAAGTCTTGTCGTTTTCACACGAACCAAAGGAAACTATGACTCGAGTTCTACTTTCCAGTCTAGCAGTTTTTTCTCATTTTTTCGATCTTCTGACATTTTTCACGTACACAAAAATTTCTATATGTTCTTGATTATTTTGGAACTTTGAGGCCTTCTATCAATACATCCCCTGTATTCTGAACTTTGTCAGTGTATTCTGAAAAATCCATAATTTTCTAGTCTAGAATCTTCTTTTCGAAATTATATCTTTGAAAAACTAATTCTATTCAAAATCATAATAGTTCATTCGAGCGAAAACTAATTTCTAAACTCTGATATATACATATGTACATTCCAATTCATTTTTCAGATCACTCATAAATTGTTGAGAAATGCTCCCATTTATCGTATCCTCTATTGGTGTGATTTGTGGTGTCCTCGTAGCAATTATGAATTGTTATTTGATTTTTATATATCGGAGGTAAAACTTTGAGTATTTTCAAAGCTACCAATTCCCAAAATCTTCAGCCAGAAACACCACCAAACCCATGATATGACCCAGTTTTACTATCGATTTCATTTGGATGTCATTATTGGATTCGCCACATGTCTTTATTTAGGTCATGTGCTCACTTTTTACACGTTCCCCGAATTTTTCGAATCTACGAGACTGCTGGTATTATGGTTCGGATTGTTAACATCAAATCTACAAATGGCACGAATGATGTTCCAGTTTTTTATCAGCTGTGATAGAGTCATGGTAAGCACTTTTTATTTTTGGTTCGATTGTACTTTTTGGCAGATTTTTGTTCTGAAAATTAGCTTCCGTGTGAATGAATCCAGACTGATTCAGTAGATTTGTTTTCTCACGGTAGAATATGAGAGATACAGAGCAAGATATACACGAAGTACATTTTAGATCATACAAAATCAGAAGAGTGTAATTTGAAGTACAGGGTGCGGCAAAAGTTCTGCAACCAAAAGACAACGACATAACTTCTTGGAAAATAGCCCAATCCAGGTCAAATTTTAACAGGGCTTTATCGAAAATATTTGTAACAAAATTCAAATATAGTTGTTCGTTTCTGGCAATTCTGCTTCTGAATATTTGGTTTTGGCGCTTCCTGCTGAACACGTTTTTCCGTGTGAGCAGGTCCTACACCTTTCTGGGTAGTCTAATTTTGCGAGCTTTATGGCACGATGACATAGACATATTTTCGCTAAAATCAACTTTTGAAAAGGTTGAAAATAAAATATAGATTTGCGTGGTCCTTTGAAAAAAAGAGCGACGAACCAGTAAAAAAAATAAGTTGAATTGCGCAGAGGGCGCACCAGTTTGCTGGTAATAAATATTATAAGTTAAGTTGCGTCTCTTTCTCTGTCAGTTTGTCCGCACATTTTGAAAAGCTTGAAATTCATTTTGAAAAAGAGTGAGTCGCGAAGCGACGAAAAAAATAAAAAAGATCAAATCGCGCCGAAGGCGCACCAGCCAGCTGATTGATGCGCCGGAGGCGCGGCAAATAGGCTGGTAGTTGAGAAATTTCGCAATCGAAAATAAATATTTTCAGGCCGCTTTCTTCCCAATCGAATATCGTGTTTATCACTCTAGGATCCCCGTCTGGCCATTTTTCCTATTCTCACTGGCTTCTGGACTTTTCCAAGACTTTATATTTTTCTACTGCTGCGATTTTGTAATTTACGTTCCAAAAAACTGTTTGGCTCTTGGTTGTGTTATGAATGTATGCTTCAAAACTTTCTGGTCCACTTATCAGACGGTCAGACATTGCATCTTCGAATTTCCAAAACGAATTCCGAACTTCAGGTTATCCTATCTACAATTGTTTTTCTATCAACTGCATTTTGTGTCCGCCTATTTCTGTGGAGCAAATCTGTGAGCTCTTTGACCCAAGCCAATCGATTAGCAATCATTGATGCTGTGACCACATTCTTTTGTCAATTCATTCCTCCATTTTGTGTTAGTCTATGGCCGGATTTTGAACTTTTCCAGTTTTCGTACGCTGGACCATTCAATCTAGTTGGAAAACTTGTGGGGAACACTATAGAATCTGCACTGATGTTCAGAATTATGAGAAAAAAGTACGTGGAACAGAAGGCAGCAACAACATTTGTAATTAGAGGATTCAGTCATGGCACACACTCGTCGGACCATCATAGATTTTGAATTGTTGTTCTTTTTTGTTTCTAGTTTGCTTCTCTACCTGCCAAAATAAAATACTCGTAAACAAATTTTCGTTACATCTACTTTCTCCATATAACTGGGCTAATGTCTCTATTTTCTCTATACTCTCTGTCGTATCCCCACTATCTCATTTTGTTTCGTCAACAAGTAAAAATCACATGTTTTTATACATTTTTTGAGTTAAAGAGATCTCTCTTATTCAGATTTTTCATTTTAATAAAATGATGTTCTTATTCATCATCCCAATTATTTTCCTCTGGCTGTTTTACGAATTATACTACAAACGGTGGAACTATCCACCTGGACCTATCCCAGTGCCTTTTGTTGGAAACATCATCCCATTCATTTGGGACAAACCTGGCTATGAATGTTTCAGGAAATGGAACAAAACGTATGGAGATGTGTACACATTTTGGCTAGGTGAGTTTTGTTTTATCAGTAGAGCGAACTTGCTGAAAAAATGTTCAGGGCCCTCTCCATATGTCATGATTGGATCTTACGAACTCATGAAAGAAACTTTTGTGAAGGATGGGGACACTTATACTGACAAATTGCAACAACCATTCACTGAGAAGTTTAGAGGTGGAAAATTTGGAATCATCGAGACCAGTGGACACTTCTGGAGCACTCATCGACGCTTTGCTCTATCCACTTTCAGAAATTTTGGACTTGGAAAGGATTTGATGCAGCAGAAAATTCTTTTAGAAATTGAGGAGTTCTTCAAAGTAGTTGACAAGAATATTGAAGAAGAGCAAGATGTGCCAAAGGAGATTTATAATACAGTGGCAAATGTTATAAATCAGCTAGTTTTTGGATACCGGTTTGATGAAGAGAAGCAGGAAGAGTTTCAAAAGTTGAAGGATCTAATTGATATCCAGGAAAAATCCTTCACCAGTTTTAAATATTGCATCCAAGCGTTTGCACCTGGTATCGGAAAATATCTTCCGGGAAAGTCACTGGATGATATGTGAGTTTAAAACTAATTTATCGGGTGAACTTAATACAATATGTTATATAACTTTTATTTTAGTATCACTGAAAAGCGTGAGGACTACTACAGCTTTTTCTATGCCCAAATAGCGGAGCACCGTCTGAAAATAGATTTTGAGTCCGAAGACGTTTTGGATTATGCAGAAGCTTATCTGAAAGAGCAGAAAAGACAAGAAGAGAAAGGAGACACGGAACTATTTTCGAATCAACAACTTGCAAATATGTGCTTTGATTTGTGGTTCGCAGGACTCACTACTACTCATACAACGTTGACTTGGACAGTGGCTTATGTCATGAATCATCCAGAAGTCCAGGAAAGAATCCACAAGGAGCTTGATAGAGTGATAAGAGATGATAAAAGATTGGTGACGACTGCTGATAAAAATGAGCTCCCGTTAATCAATGCAGTGATAAATGAGTCTCAACGATGTGTAAATTTGCTTCCTCTGAATCTATTCCATGCAACTACAAAAGACACGATAATCAATGGGTATCCAGTGAAGAAAGGAACTGGAGTGATTGCTCAGATTAGTACGGTTATGTTGGATGAAAAAGTGTTCCCAGATCCATATGCATTCAATACTGACAGATTTCTTGATGAAGAAGGGAAGCTGAAGAAGATAGACGAGCTCATTCCATTTTCAATCGGAAAACGGCAATGCCTAGGGGAAGGTCTTGCCAGAATGGAATTGTTCCTGTTCATTGCCAACTTTTTCAATCGATATCAGGTATTGGTTTTATATGGATGGATTTTGAAAGAAAAAAGTTCAGGTTTTGCCACCTGCTACTGGTCCACCATCTTTGGAGAAAGCTGAGAAAGTTGGAGTGTTCCCCAGGAAGTTTCATGCAGTTTTAAAACGAAGGAATGTTAAATGAAATGGTTTCTTGAATTTCCGATTTTACCCTTACTATAAAAATAAATGACTGGATGTTGACCTGTTTTGAAAACAATTTTTGAAAAATTTCATGAACATTTTGTTCTGTTATCCTAGGGTTGAGAAACCATGAATCATCGTTGAATTTGGTAACAAGATTGTTCATTTTTTCTGTAAGATCCAGAAAATTATTTTTTTGCAGACATCCTAATAACAGGAACTATAATTGTTTAAGAAAAATTGAATTGGTTTTCGGAAAAACAAGTCGTGGGACATTAGATTCCAGAGCAAGGCATGAACTTCGGTCTGGAAAATGTGTGAAAGAAAAAAAAACTTTTGAACAGGAAGTGATAACCTCTCCCTAATTCAATATGATAGACATAATTTCCTGGAAACACCACTCATCCAAAAAAAATCTGAAAAATGTTTGTCCATTGCTTGCATTTTGGGCAAACGGTGATCTAAACTCTAGTGACTTTTGACAGTAAAAAAATCATATTCTGACTCTTTCAATAAATAAATTGTCAACTTTGAAGCCTTGTTAACCGAATCGAGATAAGAAGAATTCAAAGAAGAAAATTTTCATGGAACAAATGGGAAAACAATGAACTTTCATCTACAATCTTAAAAAGCTACGACTTGGTTACTTTGGATTGATTTTTTAGCAACTATACTCCGACGATGACTGGATGTTTCAGCGATCTTCCCTTTTCTGAATATCAGAAGAGTTGAAACTACGAACGCCTCGATGGCACATCCAGTGACTTTGAAAACATCATTATAGGGTCCAACAAACTGAAAAATCAGGGTTCCTGTAATATATCAAAGTGTCTTACATCGAAAGAGAAGATTTTGGCATTGGGTCACATTGAAGGGCAAAAGGAAGGGAGGAAATCGAAAACTAACACGGTTACGGTATTCAGTAGTGCAAGACGGTTTGCCTGAAATTGTTTAATGTTGTAAATGATATTACTTTTTTGAATGTTACCTTTGATAGTTGATTATTCTTCTTATGCCTCAAATTGTTCCAAATAAATAGTTTGGTTGATAGCATTATTGATAATAACACTATAGCTGAGAATATCGCCTGAAAGCAAGTTTTTTGAAAAAATGAACCACAAAAACTAAGGAATACGTCTTTGTGAATTGTCCAAAAATAATAAAAGCACTGATTAATCGCGCAGCCAAAAACTCGACAACTTGGAGGAATGATCATGTCATAAGAGCATAAATTGAAGAAAACGAATTCTTCCGAGACTCCAAATGCGATACCTACTGCTAAAACAATCCAATTAGGAACTAGGTTTCTATAGGAGCGATATGTAATGGGAAAATATGCATCTATGACTCTTTCGGCAGATATGGAAAGGGCAATAATGGACCGGCAAGCGGCAAAATTTGACCAAAAAAGGGCAAGATAGACTATCAAAGGACGAAATTCGACCATAAATTGTGGAGCTTTAATGGAGAGCAGAATGAAGAGAATGAAGAAGAGTACTGAGATATACTGTATAGGAAAACTGAACATTTTACAAAACTTACGAGTTGCTCAAAAAATATGTCCAATGCAAACCGGTAGTAGAACAAATGCATGTCTGCGTTTCGCTTTGATTTGTTCCTGAAAATATATAACTGCATTTTGTAGTGTTTTTTTTTGTTTTCTACTGACATCACAACCTTTATGACTAAATTGATATTGAGCAATATCGTGACCAGTGCGCAAATAATTCCTAACAAGCATACAATGGTTATGAGATTGTCCATTTGTTCTGGAAGATTCAGAAAACGCTACGCAATCGCTAGAGTTATCACACAAAAATAATAAAGAGATTTCGTTGAATTTTCTTATTAATCGTTTTTTGTAGACATCTGAAGAACAGGAACTAGCTAATTAATGAAAATTGAATATGTTTTTTAGAGTGAAAACCAAACATCGTGTGAAATTCGATTTGTGAGCAAGGCGCGAATTTCGTCCTGGAAAATGTCTGGAAAAAACTTTTGAACAGGAAGTGATACTTGACTGATTAAGATAGAAATAAATTCTTGTTGGTTGAAAACACCAAAGTGATTATAAGGGAGAAGCAGGAATGCTCACAAAAAAGTCAACTTTTTTTCCACGATTTTCGTTGCTACTGAAACACAATTTTTGGAAAGCAAGATTCATTCAAATCGCAGAAAAAAAAAATCTGAATTCGAGAATTGTAGATGTATCTGAAAAGTTTGATTTATTTTTGGTCAACTTTGGAACCTTGTTTCCCGCCTGGTGATATACAGTGAGAAGAAAAGAAGAAATAAACGCGAATTTTTATTGACTCTCTTAAATAGTTAAGACTTGATTACTGTGTATACTGAGATTTTTAACAGCTACAGTCCGTCGACGACTAGAAGCTTCAGCGATTTTTTTGAATATTAAAAGAGTTGAAACTACTGTCGCTTCGATAGCACATCCAGTGACTTTGCCCACATAAGGACCGACATACTGAAAAGTTAGAATACAAGTTGCCCCAAAAAAATGTAAAATGCAAACCTGTAGTAAAACAAATGCATATCTGCATTTCGCTTTGATTTCTTCCTGAAACGGGGAAATGATTGTTATGAAGTTTTTTTTGTCTTCCACTAACATCACAATCCTTATCACTAAATTGAAATTGAGCAGTATCGTGGCCAATGCGCAAATGATGCCCAACAGGCACACAATGGTCATAAAAATGTCCATTCATTCTGGAACATACGAAACATATTTTTCTTTTCAGGAAGATTCGAAAAATGAATATTCAAGATATACAGAATTCAAGAATTCAATTCAGGATAATAGGATTCTGGATATATATGAAAGTGAGTCAATTCTCTTTTGCAACACATCAGGAAAAGAAATTTTTAGACTCATGAGAACAAAATCTAATCAAATCCGAAGAACCGGATCTAGCTAATTAACAAAAATTGAATATATTTTCGGAAAAATAATAACAAGTGGGTGAAATTCGATTACTCAGCAACGCACAAATTTCGATCTGGAAAATCCACAGGTAAAATGCGAACGGACCCGTTTCGGAGGCACAGCATTCACGCGCGGTTGAAATAAGAACCGCATACGGACCGCACGCTACCCGTTTGCAGAAAACCACAACGCATTATTCCCTCCGTATTCTATCCGTTCGCGAACTCCGTATCCGATCCGATTGCGAATGATGGAATTCCACC